TCAGGAGCTCTTCTCCCTCCCCTCCCTCCTCTCTCTTCACCTTGGGCCCCATGTAAGGAAGGCGGCATCTGTCTCAGCTAATGAGAGGGGGCCCCAAGTCGGAGGGTTATTTCCATTCCCAAACCCTGATCTCCTCCCTAGGAGGCAGCTGGTGGCGTTCTCAGCTGTTAAGATATCCGAGGTGGGAGGTGCCCATTTCTCTGCGGCCCCTCCCCCTCAGGACATGTGACTGATGGCAGGTGGGGGGGCGGGGGAGGGGAGCATACTGGCAAAGAGGTCAACAGTAGCTGTGCCTCGGAGGGGAAGCAGCCCAGAGAACCGGGGTTCTAGACTCAGCTCTACCTCTGCCCTTGGCCTCAAGCGCCCCTGTATCTGTGAAATGAGATGATTTTAGGACCAAGGACAGAGACTGAGGAGAGAGAGGCTGAGGAGAAAGACAGAGGCAGAGAGAGAAGGAGAGAGAAAGACAGAGACAGAGAGAGGAAGAGGGAGAGACAGACTGACAGAAACACAGAGACACAGAGAGACAGAGACAGTGCAGTGGATAGAGCGCCGGCCCTGGAGTCAGGAGGACCTGAGTTCAAATCTGGCCTCAGATGCATAACATTCACTAGCTGTGTGACTCTGGGCAAGTTACTTAACCCCATTTGTCTCACAAAAAAAAAAGGAAAAAAGACAGTGACAAACAGGGAGAGAGAGGGAGAGGATGATAAGCTTAAGGGGACTTACCAGAGAAAAGGAGCTAGACGCTAACTTGGCATTGGGCAGTGAGAGTCCCACATCCGGTCTGCCCTCTCTAAGACTCAGTTTCCCCATCTGGATTATGGGCCCTGAGTCTCCTACCTGACAAGGGTAGGGGAAGAAAGGGAAGGGTCTTTTCATCAAGCATCTACTGGGGGCAGTGGCCTGGGGAGCCCTTTCTTTGGTCCCTGTCCCCCCCAGGCCTATTCTGCCCTCCAGGCTATGCTCAGCTCTGCCCTGGGGCTGGGAGAGACAGGAAAAAAGCTCACCAGCCGGCCCAAGACAGTCTCCACCCGGCTCAGAGAAAGGCCGACCAGATCACCGTGGGAGAGGCTGTGCTGTGGATAGAGGAGCAGAATGAGTTCCTTTGGGCTTCTCATTTTCCTCATCTGTAAATGGGGGTTGGCCCAAGTCAGGGTGAGGGGCTGCTGCATGCATGATCTCTGAGTCCCCTTCCATCAACGTTATTCTCAGTTTCTGTAGTCCTAGGACAGTGACCCAACATAAGAAGCTTCTGAACAGTCCACAAATGGAATAGCTCGCCCCTAGTAGTAGTGAGCTCCTCATCAAGGCAAGTATTCAAGCAGAAGTGGAATGACCACTTTTCAGGGATTCTCAATTCAATTCGATTTAATTCAGTAGATTAGTAATTCCTTCCTCGGGTGGACAATTGTACCCTCCAAGTTGCTGATTCCATGATTGAAAGAAGGATCCGCTGTGGGTCAGTCACGGGAGCTCCTTCTAGTGACTTGCCCATCCCACCTCCCCTCCCCCTGGTCAGTTCCTAGGCACATGCTCAGTCAATGAACATCCTTGCCCCCCGGGGAGAGGGGGAAGCAGACTGTCAGCCTTTGCCAGAGGACCAATCACCTCCCTTTCAGTTCTCCATCAAAGGGCTTCATGGGCCATCCCACTGCCTTTGTCTTCTCCCTTAAGTAAGACCAGAGGATTCCAGGCTGGAAGGGCCTCAGAGGTCACCTGGACCAACAATTTTCATTGAAGAGAGGGGGTCTTGCCTGAGGTCCCACAGATAGTAAGCAGCAGACATTTTCTACTGGCCTGAGTCCCCAGACATTGGTGCTGGGAGGGAACCTTAGAACCTGAAACCTGGAATGTCAGTGTGGGGAGGGGGCACTAGGCACACTGGGAGCAGCTTCAAGGCTGTCTAGTCTAACCTCCTGATTTTACAGGAGAGGAAACTGAGGCCCACAGGAGAAAGGAGCTTGCTCTAGGTCAGACTGTTAAGGTACTGAGCCCGAGGTTAGGAGAGGCCTTGTGGGTCTGGGCTTTCTCCTCTCCTGGATACTAAGGGCTAGGACAGGAGGTGATCTAGAACAGATGCATTTCTTATTTCCTCAAATTTCGCTGGCCTGCAGGAGCAGTTTGGATGTCAGTTCTGCCTTCAAGGCCTCCTCAAGCCAGCCATCCAGGCCTCTGCTTCCAGGGAGCCTTCCAGGCAGGGTGTCAGAAACCCAGACTTGCTGCCCTCTCAGGCCCAGAGCCTGGCAGTGGAGTTTAGGCCCTTATAGGGTATGGCCAGGGCCAGAGGAATTATTCTTAGCAACAGGTACTGGAGGATGACCCTTTTGGAGCCCTCTCCCCAGCTGCCTGAGGAAGGCACTTGGACTTCTCAAGTTGCAGGCTGAGAAGGTTCCTTGGCTATTTTTGGAGGCTGTCATAATCTTCAAGAAAGGTTGGGGGCTTCTTGGCCCCTGCAGGAACCCCCTATAAATAGCCATCCGCAATGCTGCTGGGGCTGGGCAGCTATCTCCTGTCAGAGTGATGGCAGGCCAGCTGGGCTCGGGAAACCAAGGCGCCTCCTTGAAACTGACCCTTTGAGGCGTGCCAGACAGGTTCTAGCCTACATCAAAACCATCTCCGGCTTTGGTCTCTGCTCAGCTGTTGTCTGCTATTATTCTCTGATTGTACATTGAGGTTGTCTATACTTATGCTCTATTCCCTTGCCACGGTGGGAGCACTTCTAACCTAAACCTTGACCATCCTCAGGGACTAGCACAGGGCTCCACAAACAGTAGGCACCTAATGGTTGTTTATAGAAAGAAGGAATACATATTTCTTCCATAGTCAGAGCTGTGTCTATACTGGAGGCCACAGGATCCTGGCAGTCAGAGATCACAGGACCCTGGAAGCATCAGTGGGGTAGAAGTAGCAGAGAGGCCAATTTAGCCTTTTTTTAAAATCTTTATTAATATCTTTTGTTTTCACATTGACTAAATTTTCTCCCACTCTTCCCCCCCCCCGCCCCGAACCATCCCAGGTTACAAACATATCTATATATATTTTTTTTTGTGGGTGGGGCTAGGCAATGGGTTTAAGTGACTTGCTCAGGGTCACACAGCTAGTAAGTGTTATGTGTCTGAGGCCAGATTTGAACTCAAGTCCTCCTGAATCCAGGACCAGTGCTCTATCCACGGCGCCACCTTGCTGCCCCTACAAGTAATTTTTTTAAAGGGAAAAAAGAAAGAGGAAAAAGGATTTAGGAAGAAAGAGGCATTACCTCAGAATCCCAGAATTGTCTCCAACCTTAAAAGTGCCCAGAGGCTGCCTAGTACCATCCTCACCAGATCTAGACTCCTGGCCCATGGTCCAGTTTTCACCTGACCTGTCTTTCCCTCTGACCTTGGGGTATTTGCACTGAGGATGCATCTCATCTCATGAAAGAATTTGAGTTCAGAAAATGGGTCTAGGCAGCAGCATGCTGCCCCAGTCACTGAGAGGCCACTTCCTTGATCAACCAGGAAGCTTTAGCCTTGCCAACCTGCAGGGAAAATAGTATCAGCTTCATTGTGCAGACAAGGACACCGAGCTTCCACCTAGTCAGCTCTGGGCCAAGTGTATTAACCACTACAGCCATCTGCAAAGCAGAGGGAGCTGCCTCCAGACCAGGTGGGCTCCCCCTCCTTGGGGGTCTTCAAGAAGCATCTGAGATCATAGCTTGAGAGCTGGGGGTCTTGTAGGACCTCCTGACCAATCTCCTCACCTTGACAGTGGAGGAGACTGGGGTCCAAAGAGATTGAGTGACCCACCCAGTACCACACACGACTAAGTTCTCCAGCTAGGATTCCAACTCAGGCCCCAGGGCTCCAGGTTCAGTGGTCTCCCAGCCCCCCCCCATGTGCTTCTTTTACTCCTCATTCTTTCTTGGCATGGGGCATGCCTGATGACCCGTGAGGCACTTCTCACCCTCACAATGCTGCATGTCCTCCCTGGGCCTGAGAGCTCCCCAAAGTGAGGGTATCCCCTGCCCTGCTTCTTAGCACAAACTGGGTACAGGTTGGGGTGGGACGGGGGGAGGAGTGAATACTATTCCTGCTTTCCCAGTTAGACAGCTGCTGGTGAACAGCAGGATGTTCAGGAGGGGACTCCACTGGGCACTTTTGAATGACCAGGGAGGAGGGGCATGGAGAATCCCTTGGGATTTCAGGGAGGCAGTGCCTGAGGTCCAGGGGCCAGGCTGCACAGGGGACCTCCCTGGGTGTCTAGGGAGGGCTGAATGGGTAGGGGTGGGGTGGGGAGCAGCAGGCCCGGTAACTTAGCCCTACCCTGCACCTTCTTAAATGGCCACCCATGGGAAGGATGCTCAGGCTGGCTGTGACTAACGTCTTTTTGTTCTCATTTCTCTCTCCTTTCTTCTCCATCCCCTCTGTTTCTCTTCCCTCTTTCTCTCCCTCTCCTCTCCTGCCTCCCCCTGTCTCTCTCTCTCTCTCTCTCTCTCTCTCTCTCTCTCTCTCTCTCTCTCTCTCTCTCTCTCTCTCCAGAAACCCACCACCACCACCATGTCTGACGAGGAAGTGTGAGTACAAAACCCAACCTGTTTAATCCCTCACCTTGGGACTGGGAGACACTCAGACCTGCAACTTACTTTTACCCGTCAGATAAAAGTCTTCCCAGGGGACTCAGTCATTTCAAGCGCAGAGACCAGCAAATTAGTAGAGCTTTGATGGAAGCCAAGCCAAGTGGGGGAGGGGGGACTTGGCGGGGGACGGGGCTAGGATCTGGTTTGTGCTGATGATCATGTTGAGAAACTCAGGACGTCCCAGCTGACCAGGCTCTCCCTGCTTCTTTTCTCCAACAGCGAACAGGGTGAGGGTAAGTCTCCAATCTACCTCTTCTTTGCCTCTCTGGGGTGGAATATTCAGCCACAAGGGCAGGGTCAACCCTTTAACTGTGACTTATGGCTCAGGCTTGGGCAAAGTTCCGCCGCTTTGTGCCGAGGCTCCCATATTCCAGGGGCGCCGATGGGAACGTGGGCAGTGGGGGAGCACTTAGGGCCACAGGCCTGGGGGCTTGCATCTAACCACCCACAGGAAGCTCACTACGTACGTAAACCCTGTGAGGTGTCCCCAGATGATGGGTTTGGTAAGCCTGGATTCCTGGAGATAGAGTGAGTTTCTTAAAGCAAGGCCCACGGGTCTGTGAGTCCTGGCCCTGTGTCTCTACCACCACTGGCTGCAGCGTTCCTCCCTCCTTCCTTTAGAATGAAGATGGGCTTGAGGGTGGGTCTGCTTCTCCTGCTTTAGGTCAGTCCTCTCTTCAGAGGGGCTCAGCCCTTGTGCCTCGCCCCGCCCCGCCCCATCCAGCCCCTGGGGGCCCCAGCTCTTTTTCCCATCCTTCCTCCCCACTGTCGATGGTCAGCGGCTCCAGCCCTCCCTCCCTGGCGCAGGCCAGACCTTCACCAGCTAACCTGGCCCTTTTCTTGTGTTTTTATTCCAAAGCAGAAGAGTACGAAGAGGAAGGTAATTGGGAAGCCCCGCCCCTTCTGGGCTCTCGGGTCTTCCTCTCTTCACCTCTTTTTCTCCTGCCTGCACTTCTTCTTCATCCCCTTCCTCTTCCTCCTCAATGAATATTTCATCAGCAAAATGATGAAATATGGGTTTTGCCCTCACCACTAACCCCTCCGACCTCCCCTGATTAATCTCTCAACTTTGTTATTAATGGTAGTTAATGAATGCCTAATTTTCATCGGTGTCTCGTAATTAAACTTTCATCATCTCAATTAATATCCATTAATGAAGTCATCACCGTGATTAATATCCGTGCATTGGAGTCTCACCCTAATGAATTAACACTTACTGGAGGCCATTCATCTGCTTTCCCTGAGCACCTGGAAATCTGAACGCGCCTCGTCTCCGGGTGAACCTTCCTTCCCAGACGCATTCCTCCGCGTGCCTAGGCGTCCCTCGGGCCGCGTCTACACAGACTGACAGGAAGCACAAGCTTACTGAAGCGTCTTCAAGGCGTTGCGAAGCTTCGCTCTCCAGACTTCACGTGGTTCCCGCAGTGGGTGGAGGGGTGCCCCCATCAGCAAAACAACTAAAATGTCTTAGAAATCTTTGCAAAGCCTTCGAACCCCCAAAGGAACGTCCCTTTTCCTTCCTGGTACAAAAGGGTCTAGAAGCGTGTTTGAGCTGGAGGGGCTGGCTTGGAGGAAGAGCTTCTCCTTTTCGAAGGCCCCTGAGCAATAATAACAATATTAAGTCGAAGTCACAGGTGGAGGGCTCTGGCCAGACCCAGACCCTCCCCCAGATTCCTCTCAGGCTCCTTCTCTCTGAAGCTCCCACTTGTCCTCTGCATCCCCGGGACAAACAGGCCTGAGGACCTGGGGCTGGGAAAGCGAGCCAGGGTTGGCTGAGCCCCTGGGACAGCCACATCACACGGGGTCCCCAGCAATCTCTGGCAATGGAAGGAGCATTGAACTGGGAGCGAGGGATTCTGGGTTCCCTTCCAAGTCTGTCCTCCACTCCAGGAGCAGAACCTCCCCATCAGTTCTGTAAAATGGAGGGGCGTCATCCACTGTTGACCACCTCCCATCCCACGCATAATGCCTCTTGCTCTGCCTCCTTCATAGGGTTGGGCGGAGAGGGAGAGGGCGTGGTCAGCCGGCTAGTGGCTATGCAGTGCCTCAGGAATTTAGCGTATAGGGAAACACAGAAAGGTATGATGATGACTCCAGGAGGGATCTGGACTCCAGCCCTGCCTGACACTCATTAGCTGTGCGACCTTAGACAAGTCGTGCACCTCTCTGGGCTTTTATTTACTTGTCTGAAAAGTGGGTAAGTTAGACTCCATGGCCTTTCCAGCTCTAAATCTGTGACTCCAAGATCTTGTGACTGTGAGCATGTCACTTTAGCTTATGTGAGCCTCAGTTTCCCCATCTGTAAAAAGAGGAGACCAGACTCTAAGGTGGTCTCTAGCTCTAAATTTATGACCCTGGCTTCAGTTTCCTCATCTTAAAATGGGAATAATAATTCCTGTGATATCCTACATCACTCAGAGGGTCCTTGGGAGTCTGGAGTGCCCTAAGGGCATCCCCACCTTCCTTAAAGCCTATTCTAGATGTCAGGGATGTTCTTTTGCTGCTGTTGCTGCTCCCTCCTCTGGGCCTTGGGACCTCTGGGGAGTGTGTCTTTGACTTGGCCGGAAGGTCTGGGGCTTTCCTAGGTGGAAGTGGGGTCTCCAGCTTCCCTGTGTTCCAAGGAGCTCTGCCTGGGAGCTCCTAGACCTTAGAAATAGCTTCTGCCTGGGTGCCAGTCTCCCTGCAAGGGTTGGGAGGGGATCTCCCTGCCCAGCACCCAGGAGACAAGTAACTGACCCCTGGATGCCCAGAGGTGAGGGGCCAGACGGGAGAAGGCACAGAACCTCCTCTCTCCTAGTGATAGCGGCCCACTCTCTCACTTTACAAAGGAGAAAACTGAGGCCCAGAGAGAAGGGCTGTACCCAAGGCCCCCAGTCAATGAGTGGCATAGCTGGTTTTCCCAACTCCAAGCCCGGGGCTCTGATGGCCCAGCTTAGCGAGTGGCTTCCTCGGTCAGACACTTGGATGGGGCCAGCCGACCATGGCCTCCTCTCCTGCTGTTGGGCTGGGGTTTCTTTTCCACTCAGCCAGTTGTCTAAATGTCTTTTCCTTCTAACTGCTTGATGCCTCCCCCAACCCCCAAGTGCCCAAGGAGTGTACAGTTCTAATGTTTCCCCTTTCTTGCCTCCCATATTGGTCACCCACTCTGGCTTCCTTCCTACTCTCAGAAGCCCAGGAAGAAGGTAAGTGGCCCATGCAGGTCACCCCCGGCCTTTGGGCAGAAGAAGAGGAGACGGGCCTGGCCTGGTGCTTGGCTGGCTCCTCTTCTCCGCCCTTGCCTCCTGCCTCCCAGCCCCTGCCCACTTCCCCTGACCTCAGCTCCCACTCCCACTGACCCTTCCGCTGCTCCCCTCCTCCCCCCTGACATTTGGTGCCAACGACTTCAGCGCTATTCCTCACACTGACCGCATCCTTTCTCCTCGTTGCTGGCCTGCCCGGTTCCCTGCTGCCTCCCATCTGCAGAAGTCCATGAGGAAGGTATGGACCCATGACTTTGGAATCCCAAGTGTGGGGCCCCAAGCATGGCTGGGAATTCCAAGGTGGGAGCAGGGCCAGGGTCAGGTGAGGCCAGGCCTCCCTGTGAGCCAAGCAGGGAACCACATGGATGGTGTGCACAGCATGTGGCCCCCTGAGTAAATGACTAATGACCTGCCACCAGTAACAGCCACTGCATGGCCACTGGGAAGTCTGGGGGCAGGGGGAGAAAATGCCAACTGCTACAGACCGTGGAGTTTCCTGAATATGGACAGCTCTCAGCTCTCTGCTCACCCTGAAGGCAGGCCAGGGTAGGGAGGTGATCCCTTTGGCACAGAGAGGCCTGTTTAGTCCAGCTTGGAGGACGAGGAGTAGACAAAATTCTAAGAAATATGCCATCCACTTGTGGCATGACCTTGGCCAAGTAATTTTCCCTCTAGGAGCCTCAATTTCTCCATCTGTAAAAATAAGGAGGTGGACTCAGTAATCATCAGGGTCCCTTCCAGCAGAAACCTCAGGCCCTGATGGCCACAGAGGAGTTGACAGGCCTGGCCGCTTGTCTTCTGTTGATTTCCATGCCTGAGGCATGCCCTGTTGCCCATGGAGAAGTTACTTGGGTGACATCGTTCAATGAAGGACCAGGGCCCCTGGACCCCCCCCCCCAGCCTGTTTCCTCATTGGTAAAAATGAGGCTAAAAAGCATCTCCCCACTAACCTGACAGGTTGAGTGGGAGGAAGGCTCCCTGGAAACCTCGGCCCAGAAATCCAGCTTAACCCTATCCAACAAGAATGAGTGTGTACTGTGTGCCGGGCATCTGCCTGCCTTTCCCATAGCCCAGAAGAGCTGCCTGAGGAGTCCAGGCTGTCACCATAGACTTGGGGGAGCAGTGAAGTTAGCTGTAGGATGGGTGGGAATCTGATGGGCAAACTGGCATGATTCTCACCAGCTTCTCTGACTATCTCTCCTCACCATCCTGACCTCCCTCCCCTCCTGTGTGCCTGTGCTGGGGTGCTTCCTGCTGCCCTCCATGGCTGGGCACCTTCATCCGGATTGGGTGGGACCCTACTGGGACCCTGGCCTCTCGGGGCTTTTGGCCTCCTGTTGCATGGTCCTTCCCACCCTGAGAAGTTCATGAGCCAGGTACGTGGGAAATCATGACAGAAGAATTCCACCTCAGCTGGTCAGCTCCTCAGAGCAGCAGGAATTCTGAGTGGGCTTAGGGAAGGAACAGGAGCCCAAATCCCCAGTGCCCCCCAATCCCCACCCATTAGCAAACTTACAGTTCTGCCTGCAAGTGCCCATGGACTAATGATGTAACTTGGGCTTAGGGGAGAGACTGAAGGAGCCCCCCTACCCCCTCAGCTACTTAATATACTGATGCCCCAGGAATAAAAAAAAACCCCTCTGCCAAATGGCACTGCAAACTATGCCCAAGGACACTAGCTGTGTGACCTTAATCGAGTACCTTCTGCTTCCTGGGCCTCATCTTTCCCATATAGAATAGGAGGGGACTGGCCTAGGGTGGACTCTGCCCCAGGGGACCAGAGCTTAGGGATGCCTTCGGCTGGCACTCTCTGGGCCTTTAGCCTCTACCTCTCAGGGCAAGGCCTGATGTGGACACTGGCCCACTCTCTTGGGCACCCTGGCCCATTTGCTCATGGTCCATGATGTTCTTCTGTTGGGAAGGGTTTGATTCTGAGGCTGCCTACAGGCTCCCTGACCACAGAGAGTCAGCAGTCCTCAGACCCTGCCTTAAAGTGGGCAGCAACTTTCAAAAGCCTGGAGGAAGAGATGGGGTAGGGGCCCCCCACCCTCCATGTGCCAGGTCCTGTGCATGGCAAGGGGGTGAGGGGGGAGCCCCATAGGCACTCTGGCAGCACTGGACACCTCCTGTGGTTGGGGGCTTGTCTCTTTGCTGCCTCTGCCTCCCCATGTGACCCCCCAACTGGTGTGACTCAGTTATCCTTTCCTATTAATCAGCCACTTTCTCATTTGAACCCCTCCTCTCCGTCCACCCTTCCTCCCCTCTTCTTCCTCCCTTCCTTCTCTCCCTCCCTCCCTTCCTTGTGGTGGGTGTTACCTCTTGTTCTGTGACTCTTCTCACCCATGAAGTCCATGAACCAGGTATGCGACATGACTTCAGTCTCCCACAGCCTGTGTGGGGTGCGTGTGGGTCTGTGTGAGCGAGTGTGTGCAGGGAGCTCTGGGTGATCCGAGAGAAGGAACAAGAGGGTGAAGTAACCAGGACAAAAGACTCGCCGTGCCTTGTGTGTGCCCAGGTGTCTCTCAGGGCCCTTTCCTCAGTGGCCTCCCTTCACTCCCTTTCTCTCCTTTCCTTCTGCCTCTCTCTGGGTCTCTCTGCCTCTGTCTCTGTCTTTCTCTTTCTGTCTTTCCATCTCTTTTTGACTCTGTCTCTGTCTCTGTCTCTGTCTATCTGTCTCTCTGCCTGTCTTTCTCTGACTTTCTCTTTGTCTTTCCACCTCTTTTTGATTCTGTCTCTCTTTCTCTGTCTCTGTCTCTAACTTTCTCTGTCTCTGTCTCTCTCTTTTTGACTCTGTCTCTGTCTTTCTTTGACTGTCTCTCTGCTTTCTCTGTCTCTGTCTCTCTCTGACTCTATCTTTCTCTGTCTCTCTCTCATTTTTCTTTCTTTCTTTCCCTCTCTCTCTCCTGGGATTTTCACCACTCTGCTCTTTCTTTCCCTCTGCTTGGCCTGTGTCCATGATGCACCTTCTACAGAGGAAGTCCAAGAAGGTATGTGTTGGCCAATGCCTTCCCCTGACTGTGGCCCCTCCCTTTTTCTACATGGGATTGTCTTGGGGGGCTTCCGGACAAGGAGATCAGAAAGGGCCGTGTTCCTTCCTGGGTTCTTCCAGTGGGTGTCTGTGTGGGACCCAAGGAGCTTGAGGCACGCTGCCTGTGGGAGGGACCTGGGAGAAAAGGAAGGAGAGGGAAATAGGGTCACTGTCCAGGGTGGTCTGACAGGCCCGAGGAAGGACTCCAGAGAAGGGAGAAGCAGTGAAAGGCAAGGGAGGAGGCTGCCCAAAGGATCAGGACAAGGGAGAGGAGCTGGGGAGCTGGGGAGCTGGGGAAGAGGCCAGGTGCACAGGCAGCTCCATCTGTCCGAGGCATGGCTTTGGGGGAAGGCTCGCTCCTCCTCAGCAGTCTCCCTTCCCCATCTGGAAGAAGAGGAGGCCATTTGAGGCACTTTTTAAGACCCTTTCTAGGTGAGATTTTTTCTGAGAGGCCAGCAAAGGGTGATGCTTCCCTGAGAAGGATGAATGGCCAAAGGGAGGGACTCCTAGGAAGGGCAGGAGAACCTGCTGGGACAGAGAAGCAGCCTGGAGCCTCCTCCACTGAGCCAAGCAGCATCCTGCACGCTCGCTCCACATGCTATGCCTTTGTGTGTTGTATGGCCTGGATGCTGCCCTGGGCCAGACCTGACTGGGCCACGCTTCCTATGCATGGTGTGGAAAGGCATCATAGGGCCGGCTTGCTCCAGCTACAGGCTGGCCCTCCCTGGGCCCTGCCCTAGCCCACCCACTTCCCTCCCCCCAGAGGCCTCAGGGCTCCCAGATTCCTCCTCCCTAATCCTCCCCAGGCCATGTGCTGAGAACTCTGTAGGGGAGTGCCTGGCCCCTTTGGGAATGTGGCTGAACACACACTCCCCAGGCCTTGGTCCCCCACCTGCAGCCTGGATGTGGGCGGGAGAGCCCTGCTGAGCCCATCCCGCCAATCGCTGGCAGCTTTGCCCTGACTGCTGGTGCTTTCTGATCCTCTGAAGATGGAGGGCCTCTCTCCCACACACGGCAACCTCCACACACACCCAATCGGTTTGTAGAGTTTTCCACGTCTCCCCTCTCCTTCCTCCCCTCTGGCCTTTCCTCACCCCCACCCCAAGCTTCTCTCTCTCCTTTGGGCCTCACTTCAAGCTAACTCATTATAGGGAAAAGTCCCAACTTCTACTTTCCTCAAGTGGCCCCAGGATGGGTAGCACCAGGGTAATCAGCCACGTCAGTGCTCTGAGGCCACTGCCTTTGGGACCATGGAAAGAGCACAGACTTAACAGTCGAGGGACCCCTGTTAGAATTGTCACTTGCTACCCGGGTGATGTTGGAAACCCCCTTCACTTCCTTGGGCCGAGGTTTTACCTGTAAAGAAAGCAGGGTTAGGTTCTGAGTCAACGAGCCCAAGAAATGGTGGTCTTCTGGACACGTGGGCAAAGGGTCTCCATGTCCAAAGATTCAGGTGACTTGCCCAGGCTTGCCTATGTGTTATGAGAAGTGAGGTCAGCCTGCGGAATCAGGGGTGAAATGAGGAAGGTCAAAAAGAGGAAACTGAGGCATGATGGACCAGGGCAGCTCATGTGTGACATGTTCCCCCGAAGCACACTGTATGTGCTCTATGCTGTACATGACACATACCAGTCCATATACGCATCTGCCTGTCCATCTGTGCCCATGCATTCAGGCAAGCCTCGCTACCTGGCTACTATGGGCTGGATTTGCCTGGACAGATGAAATCTGGCCTGGATCCTTAGAACAAGGGCATCCATCTGTAAGCACTTTTCCTGAGTCTGTAGAGCCCCAGTGTGGCTAAGCAGACAGAAGTTTCTTCTTAAAAGCGCTCACTGGTACATTACAAAGTATCTTTTGAGGAGGCACCATCTAAGGCCTCGGCTAGGCAGAGGAGTGAGCCCGAATCAGGGCACCCAGTTTCTAGTCTTGGCTCTGGGGGAGCTTGGCCAGGTCCCTGGCTCGCATGAGAGGGGTGGGGGCTGGGTGGGCTGCCACCGAGGTACCTGCCAGCCTGAGATACTCACAGACACTCTGACATCCAGGGGCCGGAGCTCAATTTTTTGGTGCTCAGCTGAATCCTTCTGAAGTCTGCCCTTGGTCTGTGGCAGAAAGAGTAGAAGTGGCAGAGGCCAGAGCCTCCAAGGCCAACCACACCTGCATGTGTGAGGCAGTCAGCCCTCCCTAGCAGCAAGCTGGACAGAGGGAGGGCTTGGGTTTTAGGATTTGGGAGAGCCTGGCATTTTCAAAGGGGCAGAAAGTCAGGCTCCCACTCCAAGCCAGCCAAGTCTGTGGAATGGAGGGCTTCCGAATCAGAATGGCCAGTCATTGACCTGGCACCTGCCAACGTCAGTGAGGGAGCCTGGACTTTTGCCTCCAAGGGAGGTTGGGGCTGGGCTGGAAGCCAGCCAGGCAGTGGGATTTGCCTCCTTCCATTTCCCCAAAGTCAGAAGGTCGGAGGGCTCTTTCCTCAGTCAGTCACCCCCTTGCTGCCCCACAGACGGCCCCCAGCCCCTCACCCCAGGGTGGTAGAAGGCAGGGGCCATCAAGGGAAGCAGCCTGGGGGCAGGACAGAGAGCAGGGAGCCCTGGCTCCTGCATGCCCTCCGGGGCCCCGCCCCGCGGTGCCACACTCTGCCTCTCTAGAGGCTCTGGTGCTCCCGGCACTCGCTCTTCTTTTGCATGTGCTTGCCTTTCTGAAGATGTCGCTGAGGAGGAGCACGAGGACTACGAGGAAGGTAAGGGCGCTCGTGTAGGAGGCCCCTCAGCCAGCAGCTGGCTCTCACCCCTGGCCCCAGGACTCTGTCCAGCGTCTGCCCCCTCTCTGTCCAGGCTGGCACCTTCCCACTTCCTTTTCGGTTATGTTCAGCAGACCATCGAGTGGGCCACAGACAGACTGCGGTCATGGAACACACAGTAGGCCCTGCCTTCCAGGAGTGGCCAGAATCTGGTGCTGGCTCTGCCTGGGTTTCTCTTCTGGTCCTCCTTGTCCTTGTCCTTATCTTCGTTGTCCTCCTCCTCTTCCATCCTCCCGCTTCTCCTCTATCCCTCCCTCTCCTCTGTCTCCCTCTTTCTCTCCCACTCCAGCCTCTGTTAATCTGTGTCTCCACTCTTCTGTCCTCTAACTCTCCAGCTCCTCCACCGTTAGGCAGAGCTGCCGATGCACCTCCCCTGTTTCTCGTCCTTTCTGTGTTTCTGCTGACCTCTTTCCCTTCCTCCCTGTCTTCTCTCTGGGCCTTGGTGCCTTCTCTATGTTTCCCCTTGTCCCTTTCCCTCCTGTCCACTTTCCACATGTCTCTTACCTTACTTTCTCAGGCTCCTCAAACAAAGATGTTTGTATTTTTCTCTCTCCCTGTCTTCCCGCCTGGACTTGGGGTCTTGATGAATGTGCCTGCCTGGCTCTCTGATGCCTGGTGTCTGTCTCTCCTCTGTTAATCTCTCCTTGCCTCTCCGTCTGTGCCCTTGGCTCTTCTGGGCCCATGGGCCAGGAAGGCCCCTGAAGCCTAGCAGCTTCTTCCTGCTGCCTGCCTTGTCTGGCCTGCTGTGCAGGAATTGAGCTGCCTGCTGCACTCACGGAAAGCCTCTTGCCAGCATCTGTTCAGCTTCCTTGCTGAGCAGGCAGTGAGTTTGCTGGTGCCAGGTGGGAGATGCACTGTGGACGGAGGTGAGGCTTCAGGAAGAGGGGAGGATAGAGGGGCTGCTGGGGCTGGTGGCCAGAGTGGCCTTAGGAGCAGTTCAGGGACAGAGACCAGGGCATGGCTTCCTTCCTTCCTTCCTTCCTTCCTTCCTTCCTTCCTTCCTTCCTTCCTTCCTTCCTTCCTTCCTTCTCTCCTTCCTTCCTTTCCCTTTCCTTTCCTTCCCTTCCCTTCCCTTTCCTTCATTCCTTTCTTTCTTCTTTCCTGCCTTCCCCTCCTTCTTTCATCCTTCCTTTTTCTTTTCCTTCCTTCTTTCCTTCTTTTCTTCCTTCCTCCTTCCTCCCCTCTTTTAGTCATTCATTCCTTTCCTTCCTTCCTCCCTTCCTTCTTTCCTTCCTTTTTCTTTTCCTTCTTTTTTCTTCTTTTACTTCCTTCCCTGCCTTTCTTTTCTTCCTTCCTTCCTCATTCCTTCCTTCTTCCTTCTTTCCTCTTTCCTTCCTCCTTCCTTCCTTCCCTTCCCTTTCCTTTCCTTCCTTCTTCCCTTCCTTCTTTTCTCTTTTCCTTCTTTTCCTTTCCTTCCTTCCCTGCCTTTCTTTTCTTCCTTCTTTCCTCCTTCCTTCTTTTCTCCTTTCACCTTCCTTCCTTTTTCCCTCTCTCCTCCCTCCTTCCTTCCTTCCTTCCTTCCTTCCTTCCTTCCTTCCTTCCTTCCTTCCTTCCCTCCTCCTTCCTTCCTTTTTTCCTGTTCTGTACCTCATCTCACCTCCACCCCTCCAATGTTCAGAGGAACAAGGAGGGCATTCTGTGCTGGGTGTTTCTTGCTCTCTGAGGTAGACCAGTCTCTGTTCAAGCCTCTACCTGCTCCTGCTTCTTTCCTGCTCAGCTGCTTCTGGAGCTGGGTCCCACCATCTTCTTCTTGCTACCATAATGTTGCTCATGAACTCTTCCCTGTGTGTGTGTGTGGGCACGTGGGTGCATTTGTGTGCATGTGTGTGAGGGAGCTGAGGAAGAAGGGATGGGGTCGGTGAGTCCCATAGCTCTAGGCCCAGGGTGATAGACAGAAAAGGGGAAGGCATGGCTATAGTCTCTGAGGACACTGGGATGGAGGCCAGGGGACCATGGGCCTGTGCAGTAACCGGGCTGATCCCCTCTGCTCTAGGCTGGCTGGATCTTTAGCAGAGGCCGTGGGACCTTCTTTTACTTGCTGCTCTGTTTCCCTCCAATCTGGGGCAGACTTGTTGGTCAATAGTGGCCTGATCTGCCCTCCCTGACCTTGGCCTGCCCCCCTTCTCAAGCTGGGCCACCCCAGAGTGTCGCCTAAGCATCCTTGCCTAGGTGATGGAGCTAGGCAGCCTTAGGAATTAGGTGGGAGTGGGCACTAGGCTTCAGCCCAGGCTCAGATAATGTAGCCTTGCAGAGATTCTCCAGCCTGCTGGCCTTCAGAGAATGGGAGAAGCCACTTCATTTAGTGCCAGCCTCTCTCCCTGTCCCCAAGCTCTGAGTGCTCATGATCAGCAGCTGTTAAGGAACTGAGCCTGTCAGTGGCCAGTCTTGGAAACGTCCCCTCTGTTGATGCTACTGTAAGGCCAGGGTAGGTGGGGCACTGAAGGGAAGAAGCCAGCCAGACAGAAAGGCAGCCTTGTGGGAGAGGCAGCAGCAGCAAAGCCAGGCCCCTTCCCAGGGAGGAGGAGTGGAGGCTTGACTCCTACTCATGGAATAACTGCAGGGTGGACTAGTGGGGAGTCCAGAAGAAGGCACTGATTGCAGTCGGGGGGGTGTGTGAATCTGAGAAGACTCCCTGGAAGCAGTAACTGAGCCCAGGATGGATGAATGTGGTCCCTGTGGATGGTGGGGTACGGGCAGGCTTGATGGGGGGGCATTTCCAAGTTGCCTCTCTTTGGCCCCCGACCCCTCCCTGGCTCCCGCACCCAGTCTCACCCTTGTCCTCTCTCTCTTTCTCTCCCCTCGTTCTTGTGCTGCTGGCTTGGTGGTGTTCTGGGAGCAGAAGAGAAACCTCGGCCAAAGTGAGTACAGCCTCCTTGTGGGGGCCTGCTGGGTGTGGGGGCAGGGAGGAAGGGAGGGAGGGGCATCCCCAGACTCCCCCAGAGGAGGAAGGGCCTGAGTCTTCTGACAGTCCCGAGGGGTAGATCCCACCTTCTGGTGCCTCAGGTGCCATTTTACAGATGAGCAGACTGAGGCTCTGAGAGCTCCTTAGGGGTGAGAGGTCCGGCCCCGCACCGAATACCCCCTTTGTGAACGACGGGATAAAGGCTGCACAGGGGATGCCAGGCTGGGAAGGAGAACAGAAGCGCAGCCCTAGACAACTAGCCCCAGCTGCAGGAGTAAAGGGTGCTGTTTATTCTTGGACTTGCAGGCTGTGAGATGCTGGGTCACAGAATGCCTGCTGACCCGATGTGGGGGAAGGAGCTTCTGCACCGGGCCTTCTCGAGATCAATGAAACCATAGCTCTGGCTGAAAAAATAAAGTTTTATATTTGGGTTCAAAAAATCATCTAAGTAGAGGACCAGAGAGTTATGGATAATTAAGAATTCTTCCAAAAAAGATCTGGGGATTTCAGTGGGCCACAAGCTTAGTAGGAGTTAATGGTGTGATGAGGCAACCCAGGGAACTGAATGAAACATGAACGATAACAATTGTTGTTCAGTCATTTTTCACTCATGTCTGACTCTTTCTGACCCTATTTGGGCTTCTGGTGGGACTCATTGACTTGGAGGGGCCTGTGGGACATCCAGGCCAGAATGCCCAGTGGGCAGTGAATGATGTGGGCCTGGAGGCCAGAGGAGAGATGGGTCTGGATGGATAGATCTGGGCATCATCCGTATGAAAGTGGTTGTCATGCCCATGACAGCTGAGAAGATCCCTGAGAGAGATGAGGGGAAAACCATGAGTGTACCCCAAGTCCAGAGAGGACAGAAGGCATCCATGGAAAGCCTGGCCCATGGTGCCCAGGGCCATGTGTGGTCAGGAAGGCCTGAGGCCTTCCAAGAGGCCACCAGACTCACAGTTCAGAGACTGTTAGAAATCTGGAAGGGAGAAGCTTCAGATGGGATTAGGCCTGAGGCCAAGGGCTGAGGAGGGTGGGAGAACAGAGTCAATGCTGAGGGACTGGGAGGTCTCAGGGTTACTGTAAGGATTGGGGAGAGGCAAGCACATTGGAAGCCTGCCAAGGGGGAGAGGCAAGAATTTGAGAAAGTGGGGGATGTGAGAGAGGACAACCTGACAGAGAAGATGGGATGGCAGGGAGAAGGTCAAGGGTGTGTGTAGATAGCCAACCCTTCCTCGGGGGGGGGGGGCAGCCTTGGGGATGATGGCCATCCCTTCATCAGAGAGGTGTGTGTAGAGGGGCTGGTCTTAGGAAGGGTGGCCATCCCTTCCTCAGAGATGGCCATCCCTTCCTCAGAGAGGTGTGTGTAGAGGGTCTGGCCTTGGGGAGAATGGAAACTCCCCGGAGCCTAGTGGAATGGAAGAATGAGAGGAAGGTCATGGGGGACAAGGGGTTCTGAGGGGAGGAGGAGGGGCAGAGATGAGGAAGCTCAGAGCAAACAGTCACTATTTCTCAGCTGGGGGGGTGGGTGCAGGGGTCTCCAATAGAAATCAGCTCTGTGGGGAAAGTAAAGGCATTGCCTTGACAGCAGTAGGCCAGTGAGTTGGTAATCTACTATGTGCCCAGCACCGTGCTAAGCTCCAGGGATACAACGAGAGGCAAAAGATGGGCCCTGCCCTCAGGGGCTCCCAGTCCAATGAGGAGAGGCATGTAAAGGACTGTGTACAAACAAGATACAGATGGGGGGGGACCTGGGGGGGGCAGCTAGGTGGCACAGTGGATGGAGCACCGGCCCTGAAGTCAGGAGGGCATGAGTTCAAATCCGGCCTCAGACCAAACACTTGACATGTACTAGCTGTGTGACCCTGGGCAAGTCACTTAACCCCAATTGCCTAAAAAAAAATTTTGAAAAAAAGATACAGATGGGTAAGTTGAGGGTAGTCTCAGAGGGACCAAGAAAGGTTTTTCCTAGATGGTGGGCCTTGCAGGAGGCCGAGGAGGGCAGGGATAGGATAAGAGGAGCGCAGGGTGGGCATGACCTTAGCTCACGGATTAGCGATGGGATAAAGGGTTCGACAGTGTGATGCTGAACTGGCTGAGGTATCAGGCCCTGCGGTGGGGGTGGAGGAAGCTGGGTGGAGGAGACAGCTCAGGAGAAGATGAGGATGGGAAGGTCTGGGAGTCCAGGCCTTGTGAAGAGCCGAGGAAGAATGTTTGACCTGGAGGAGAGAAGACCAGGGAGTGACCGGTGGGCGGGGATGGCATGCAGACTCTCTGAAAAGCAGGCTCATTCCCTTCTGGGTCCTGGAGCAAAGATGGAAAGGCACAAAGAGGGTGATTAAGGCTTGGGTCAGAAAAAGCGGGCAGTCTTTAAGCCTTGTCAGGGATTCCTGCTTACTTACAGACTGGATGGGAAGCTGGGGAAACAGGCTCAGAGAGAGGAAAGGAAGTTATTGGGTGGAGTGACAGCAGCGTGGGAGGTGGCACCGACAGCCTTGGACTTGCCCTGAGTGGACCCATTTTATAAAACGAGGGGGCTGAGCTAGGCAGTCTCTGAAGTGCCTCCCAGCTCTGAAGATCTTTGAGTTTGAAGACCCCTCCCAGGCCTGATGTTCTAAGCTCCTTACTCCTTCCCCCAAGTGCTAAAGTGCTAACTTTCTGAGTTCTGTGATTCTGAGACATTTAGGATGGGCATGGATTGTTGCTGTCTCTTGCGCCCTCTGCTGGCCATGGTCAGAGGTGCGGAAGGAAGCAGTTAGATGTGGGAGGAAACTTGGGCCCTACTTGTCCAAGTGGGGGAAACTGAGACTCGGTCAGAAACCGACTGAGGCTGCAAAGATGATGAGAAGTCATTCTCTCTCTCCTCTTTCCCACAGACTCACTGCTCCTAAGATCCCGGAAGGAGAGAAAGTCGATTTTGATGTAAGTTTTCCTGGCTATTCATCAGTGTCTACTTGGCCTCTCGGCCATCTGGGATGGGCGCAGTCTGGAGCCCTTCTGCAGCCAAAGCTTCAGAAAGGGGGCAGCTGAGTCCCAGGGAAATTCACCCTAACCCTCCACCTGAAATCCCGTCTGAATGCCTCTGGGCCCAGGGGCAGAATTTCCACAGGGTTTTGTTTTGTGTTTTTGTTTTGAGCTATTTCCTCAATTCTTACCCAACCTGGAATGTGAGCTTCTGCTATGAAGTCTGGAATTTCCTTCCCGCTCTTCCTTTCCACCATCATCTTCTGATCCTCCCTTTGGATTTCATGTTTTAGCCCTTTCTCTCTTTGTCCCTCTTGGTGTATTCCCCTCAGGTCCCCTTTCTCCTTTCCTCCCTCCCCCCTCCCTCCCTCCCTCCCTCCCTCCCTCCCTCCCTCCCTCTCTCCCTTCCTCCCTCCCTCCCTCCCTCCCTGCCTCCCTCCCTCTCTCCCTCCTTCCTTCCTTCCTTCCTTCCTTCCTTCCTTCCTTCCTTCCTTCCTTCCTTCCTTCCTTCCTTCCTTCCTTCCTTCCTTCCTTCCTTCCTTCCCTCCTCCCTTCCTTCTTCCATCTTTTGATCTTTATTAGTCCTAACCACTCAGTAGCCCATCCTCTTGCAGCACAGAAGACTCCTGCAGTCCTGAAAGCTGTTCCTTGTGGGGGGGGGGGTGACAGAAAGTCCCAGAATTGAAACCTGGGTCTGGGTTCTCTGGTCACTGGTGCTGGCTCTGACGGGGGGAGGGCATTTCTGGGCACAGGGAAGGGGAGATTCGACAAGACAAAGACTGAACTGGAGAAAAGAATCTCAGATTACCAATGCTTTGGAGATGCCAGGAAGCCCAGCTGGCACCAGCCTCAGAAGGGCAGCCCTGCTAGTGAAGGCTGTCCATGAGCAGCCTGGAGAAGGGAATGCCTTCAAGTAGCTGAAGCTTTCCCAGGGAGGAGGGGGGGGGGGGACTCTGCTTGGTCTTCAGGGATGGTGGCTGAATGAACTGCAGGTCAGAAGTTATAGTTAATGCAGCATCACTGGTGCAGCAAAGCCAGACCTCCCCGGCCCTGCTTTCAAGGAGTTTACATTCTCCTGGGAGGACACAGCTTTTTAGCAGTCAGAGGTATCCCCCAGTGAGGAAGTGAACTCCCCTCAATAGAGGTCTATATCAGAGAGTCTGCCCTGTGGGTGCTGGAGGAGGGGAAGCACTTAGGTACCTCCCAAACATTGGGTTGTTTGAGCCTGTTCTGAGTGGGAGTAGTCAGGAAAGGCTTCATGGAGGAGGTATGTGTGTGTGTGTGTGTGTGTGTGTGTGTGTGTGTGTGTGTGTGTGTGTGTGGTGGGTGTGCTCAGGACTCCTGGGCCTCAGCTGACCTAAAAAGGCCTAAAAAGGGGGTGGGCAGGCTGACAAGGAGGGTCTGACTGACCTCTGACCTCTCCTCGTGGCTCCCCAGGACATCCAAAAGAAGAGGCAGAATAAAGACCTGATTGAGCTTCAAGCCCTGATTGACAGTCACTTCGAAGCCCGGAAGAAGGAGGAGGAAGAGCTGATTGCTCTCAAGGAGAGAATCGTGAGTCTGGGCTCCGGGCGGGGCAGCCAAGGCACTGCAGCTGGGCAGTGATGAAGGACTAGTGGCCCAGGCTGAAGCAGCCTGTCCATCTGTCCATGCTCCTGACAGGAGAAGCGCAGAGCCGAGAGAGCCGATCAGCAGAGAATCCGGGCAGAAAAGGAGAGAGAGCGGCAGAACAGACTGGCCGTGAGTCCCTGTGCAGGGCTTAGGCTGCCCTCACCCCAGCCCTGGCCTCCTGCCACCTCACCCTTCTGTCCCTCAGTGTCCTCCCTAGAGCCAGAACTCAGGTGAGGCTCTTCCCCAGGGGCACCCGTTCTCCCTAGGAGCCCTCTGGGCCCCATGGTGGTCTACCTGGTCCATGGAATACCTATAACATGGCACAACCAGCCCCAGCCTGCTCCCCAAAGGCTCCTGTCTCTGTGGAGTCCCCCTCTGCCACTGCCACTCAGCACCCAGGGCTTTCCTCACCTCTGGATTGGTTACTGGGTGGGCTGTGGTCGTGGGGTGGGACCCGACATTCTTGGGGCCAGGCTTCCCCTTGTGCCAACAAGCTGCCCCCAGCCAAGGCAGGCTATGCTAGGGAGCCACAGCTTTCACAGAGGACATCCGTGGCACTCCTCCTGCTCACAGAGGGAGCCCCTGGGGTCTCTGTGCCCACCCCTCCCCACCCCACCTGACCTGACCCAGGCTCTTTTCTTGTACTTTCTTCCTTGTGCCAATCCTCGACAACTTGTAAGACGTTGGGGTGGTCAGCTGGATGTGTGCTGGTGGCTGTGGAGGGGGCCGGTATTCTAGCAGGGAAGGAGCCACTCCCTCTGGGAGAGGAATCCTAGAATGGGAGAGCTAGAAAACTCTTTAGAAGTCATCTCCTCCAACCTCCCCATTTGACAGAACAGGAAATTGAGGCCCAGAGGTGGAGAAGGGTCTTGGCCCGAGGCCACGCAGGCAGTGAGTGGCAGGGCAAGAATTTGCCTCCTGGTTCTCTGAGTCCAGAGTGGGTGTGGGTGACTCATGCAGGAGGCTGGCAGATGTGCCAAGCCACTGGGACAGCGGAGCTTGGCTGGCGCTGTCCAGGGTCCTGATCGAGGGGTCCCAATTCTGCTGACTGAACTTCCCTGTAGGAGGAGAAGGCCAGACGAGAGGAGGAGGAGGCCAAGCGAAGGGCAGAGGATGACCTGAAAAAGAAGAAGGCTCTCTCATCCATGGGGGCCTCATATAGCAGCTACCTAGCAAAGGCAAGTGAGGCTCTCAGGGTCTCTGCTCCCTCCCTGCTGAGGAAACTGAGGCACAGCCCCTCTCTAGGGACAGCCCTGGGGAGGGGCTCCCAGGAGGCTGTCCCTAAAGGCCACACTCCCCTTTTCCTCCCCAGGCTGATCAGAAGAGAGGTAAGAAACAGACTGCCCGCGAGATGAAGAAGAAGGTCCTGGCCGAGAGGCGCAAGCCACTCAACATCGATCACCTGGGCGATGACAAGCTGAGGTGTGTATGTGTGTGTGTGTGTGTGTGTGTGTGTGTGTGTGTGTGTGTGTGTGTTTCTGAGGCGCCTCACATCCAGAGCTGCCAGAGAACAACACCAGAGAGGGCCATGGCATTTAGAGCCATAAGGAACCTGAAGGATAATCTAGTACATGCCTCCCGTTTTATAGAGGCCCAGGGAGGACCAGGGTCTTGACCACACTCACACAGACAATCAATAGCAAAGCTGGCATGAAAATACTGGGCGATGGCCTAGAGCCCTTTCAACCAGCCAGTGCTGCCTGCTTTATGGTCCTATACAAACAGGGTGGGGGCTGTTGGTAGGAATGACCTCAGAAACAGGAGGCATCCCTGGGGCCCAGAAGCCACCACAGATGGTGGCTGGGCCTTGAAAAACAGTGAGGCTTTCCTAGGCGAAGGAGAGAAGGGAAGGCCTTCCTAGCAGAACAAAGCCATTGGAGCAGGAATGAGCCTGGGCAATTCAGGCACATGAGAGGGTCTGGCTGGAGAGGAGGGGATGGATTGGGGGGCTGGAGAGGACAGGTCAGTCCAGCCTGGGGGAGGAGCCTTGAATGCCAGGTAAGGGGCCGAGGCGGTGCTAGACAGGGTAATGAAGACTAGCCTGAGCACCACAGCCATGGGCTCGCGTTCTGGCTCTGGCCCACGCCTGCCTGAGCCACCTCCTGCTCTCTGGGCCTGTCTGCTCCCCCAGGAAATGGGCTGAGGCCAGACAGTCTATGAGCTCCCATCCTGCCCTGCCATTTTGTGTGCCTGGCACTGGTCAGAGGCAGGGCTTGTTGCTTCCCCTTCTTCCTAGAGGATCACCCCTTCCAGCAATCCTTGAGGCTCCTCTTCCCCTACCCTCTGATTAGGTAAAGGAGAGTCAGGCCCAGGCCTGGCCAAAGTGCAGAGGGGGCTCTGCCACAGCACTGGGGCTTAGCTATCCCTGAGACTTTGTGCGTGTGTCTCCACCTCCCAGGGACAAGGCCAAGGAGCTATGGGATACACTATACAAGCTGGAGACTGACAAGTTTGACTTTGGGGAGAAACTGAAAAGGCAGAAGTATGAGGTGAGTGACCCCGCCAACCTCTGGGCAGCCCCCATGGGCTCTTCACCGAGGACCGGCTCAGGGCTGGCCTGGGCTATTCCACAGGGGCTGCGAGCCGGTGCCCACCTTGGCCAGCCTCCTCTGCCGGGCACTGCTGATTTTCAGGCCTTTCCCTTGGCCACTCCAGGCCTGACCCGCATTGTGCCTTCCAGACAGGTGCCTGGCCTGTTCCCTGGGTTCCTGGCATAACCTTGAACAGAGAGATCCCTTTCCCTCTCCTTCCAGGAGGGGCCACAATTGCCAACACTTCACAGAATCCCAAAGTTGACCACGGAGGTCATGAAACCCACCCTCCTAACTTGAGAGACCTTGCCAGGAACCTAGCCTGGGTGACCACCTCAAGTAACAAGGGTCTCCCTCCCTCCCAAACCAGGTTGCTCTGTTCTTGAGTGGTTCTATCAGTAGAAAGCTCTCTCTGGTATCAAGCTGAAATCTGCCCGTGTCCCTCCCCCTGCCCTCTGGGGCCCCACTAAACATGTCTAATACCTCACCCACGTCACAGCCCTTCAAATATTTGGCCATCACAGGGTTGATTCGCCCTCCTGACCAAGGTCTTCTCTCTTCTAGTGCAAACATTCCCCACTTCTTTGAAAGACCCTCTTTCTGGAACTGTTCCCAAACCCTAACCCCCTCAGCCCCTGCCTTTGGAGGTACTCCAGCTTCCCTGCTGTGCAGCACACCCTGCCCTCCAGACATAGATGGGGCAGCCTCTGTGGAGGGAGCCTGAGGTGTCATCCACTGGTCCACTTATAACTAGCAACTGAGTCAGTCACCTCATACCCAGGGCTGTTTTGTTCCCATCTCTGCTGTACTTGGGAGTCTGGCTTCTGTAAACTTGACGTCAGGCAATATGGGAAGCTGTAGGCAGAGGCTGTCTGAGCTAAGCTACAGGTTTCTAAGCCTTTCTCTCTAGGAAGACCCTGTTCACACGTATCAAACCCCCTTACCCACCAAGGCTGGGACATCACCAGGCTGGCTCAGGTCCTCCCCTCCACAAGAGCCACAGCTCAGGCAATAAGGTCTGCACCACGACCCAGGTTGGCATAAGTCTCAGGTTCAACCTCCCCCTTGTCCTGCTCAGACACCGTCAAGGTTAAGCCACATGCTGAATCTGAAATGGCCAATTGGCAAAGGACCCAGGAGGGCTTGGATCAGGATACCCAGCTAAGTTCTTTTTGCAGTCTCTGCACTGAGGACCTGTCTACTCTGGGAGCAGTTCATTCCATCATTAGACAAATCAAATTGTTAGGAAGAAACTGAGCCAGAATTAGGCTCCTCGAAACTCTCCCTTCTTCCCCTCGTTCCTGGGTCTAGCCTCTGGGGCCAAGTAGCATAATGCACTGATTTTGAAGACCACCTCCCTAGCCAGGCAAATCTTCCCACTCTCACAGTTTTGGGTGCCCATGAACCTCACCACTCAAGACCTTGGGAGAAAGCCAGTCTGAGCTGATGAAATGGCTGGATTCTAGATTTAAAAAAAAAGAAAAAAGAAAGAAAGAAATTCCATCCAGGAACTTGTTTTGATCCCTAGATAAGAATCAGTTGTCCTAAGCACATTCCCTGCAAACGATACTGGTAAACAGAAGGTTAACCATTGCCCACTGGCCTGACAGTCTTATTTACAATGTTCATTTGCTCAGCAAACCCTTCCAGCTTTGAGGTGGGCCAAAGGCCAGCATCAGCCAGGCCCTTACCCTCATTGTCCTGACTATTGGGGAAGTAGGGCATGAGTTCCTGTGGGCCTGGGGTAGGCACACAACCTTTCCTCCAGAATTGTACTTGGGCATTGAGACCCCATCCTCAAGACCTCAGTCACATTGAGAATCTACTTTGAAATTCCACTCTCCGGGTAGAGCCTCTCTCTCATACGCAGACCCCCAACCTTCTCCAGTTCTGGAGAAAGCCTTGAAAACTGCTATTGGCCAAAGCTTCACATACCTGTGGCTTGGTTGGCGATGAGCTCCTCTGTGCTGAGCTCAGCTGGTCCTCAGACAACAAGCCCGAGGTCCATTGCCAGCCATACACCAACTGCACCAGCTCGGTAGGGCCTGCTAGAGCCCAGCCTCTGTTCACAGCTCTGCCCAGGCCCCAGAGCCCCTCTCTGCCATCCAGGGAGGAGGCCACACCCTCACCTGCCCAGTCAGCATCAGAACAGCTGGAGGAGCCTCTGGAGACACTCAGTCTTAGCCCATTTTCTGACGTTCCCTCCCTCTCTGAGTCCTGCAGAGCCCACCCCACGGGCCCCTCCTGACATAACCCTCTCCATCTTCCTAGATCATGACTGTACGTGCCAGGGTGGAGATGCTGGCCAAGTTGTGAGTACCAAGAGTCTGCCATGGGCTAGGCTGCTGGCCATTTCATGCATGGTGAGATTCTGGGTCCTTGCGGATGCCGGCAGGCAATGGGCACAAGGCAGGTGAAGAGGGAGCCTGGAGGCATGGCTGAGGTCACCATGGGCCTCCCTCCTCCTCACCCTTCACCCTCCGCCCAGTTCAGTACCCCCAGCACCTCCCAAATTCTGGCGGAGCTGGGACAGTGCTGCCAAATGAGAGTCCTACGCCAAAATTGCATTGGGTAAGGGGCTGAGTGCCCAGCCCAGGAAACTCCTAGCTACCTGGCCTTGTCAGGTATGTGGCTGGGCCTGGAGGGCACGGGGAAGGGGGTCAGGGCCATGAGAGAAGACAGGGACAGGGAAGGGAAGGCAAGTGTCCAGACCAGGCTGTCAGACTGATTTAGCAGCACTGGCCTAACCCTCTGGCCATGGCCTGAGCCTGCTGCCCCCTGGCCCCTCATGCCAGTTGGGAAGAGGTAAGTGTCATGCTCCTGTGATGGCCACGTGCCAGGCACAGTAGCTGGAGTGACTCAATGTTTATTGAAGCTGGAGTTGACCCTGGACCCCCACCCCCAAGCACGCCACGCCCGTCCTGGCTGCTCTGCCACTGCCCATACCGTGACTGCTGTTCCTCTTTCAGCCACAGGGTGGAGGAAGAGAGCAGATTTGCTGGCCCCTCTCCCAGGCCAGGCGGCAGCTTGAGGGGGAGCAGGCCCTTTGGTCTCTCCCAGTCTTGACTTGCCCTCCCGCCCCTCTAGTCCCCTGTGCCCCCAGAATGATGCCCTGGAGGACACTTCCCCTCCGTCTGCCCCTCCCGCTGATGGGTCCACGGGGAGAGTGGCCGTTTCCCTTTGGCTGGTCACTTGTCAGCGAGGGAGGTTGGCTCCAGGGCGGGCAGGCAGCTGCTGCCAAAGACCCTTGGTCATCTTCTGCTGAGGCCGACTCCCCCTCCTTCCCTTCAGCAAAGCTACCCTTGGCTTCCTTTCCTTTGGAAGACTGAGGGGCCAGAGGCAGTGACTGCCGAGCCAATGCAGCAGCCCCCTCCACTCCAGGGGAAGGAGGGCACCCCCTTGGCACCCTTAGTTTGCCCACCTCTTAGCTGGGCCACTGGGAAGCTGTGCATGTTAGCCAAGTCCTCTTCCTTTCTGGGCTTCAGTTTCCTCGCTTGTAAAACGAGGCGGCTGGACGAAAGTGAGTTCCTGCTGGTTTTGAAATTCTACGTCCTGAGGTAGGGAAGGGGAAGGCAGTACCCACTCGGGCCAAAAAGGGCATCACTTCAGGCAGCAGCAGCCTAGACCCTGTCCTGCCCTTGTAGGCGAGGGCATAGGGAGCCTTTGTGAGGGGTCCAACCCAGGCGCGGAGGCAAGGGGCCCTGGGAGTTACCTCCACTGTCCGTTCTGGCGATGGGAAAGAGGTCCCTTCGTGCCCCCTCAGTCACTGAGTCAGTAACTCTGCCCCTTCCCTTTAGGGCATGAGCTACCTGTCCCAGCCCAGTTGAGCTAGCACTGGCCTTCCGAGCCACCCTCCCCCCTCCTCAGACCACTGAACTGCACAGCTGTCAGGGACCTTAGAACTCCTCCAGCCAGGCCCCCTTCATTTTACAGATGGGGAAACTGAGTTAAGTGGGAAGAAGAGTTGAGACTTCTTCCTCCTCCATGGTGTTCCCTTCCCTCGTCCCTCCTCTTCCTTGCAGGACATCATGATGGGAGTTTTTGAGCACTGATTGTCTGATCCTGGGAGCAGTGGGAGCCCTCTGGACAGGCCCCTGGTTCACAGGGATCATTGGAGGAGGATGTCTCTGGCAGTACCCCCATTAATGTCCCTACCCAAAGAGCCCAGGACTGCTCCGCAGAGCTGGCTGGGCTAGCGGGCCCAGGAGGCCAGGCCAGGGTGCTAAGCAGTCCTGGGCCCCCCTGTCCGGTGCCTCCTCTTCCCTTCCCCCAGGCTCACTAGTAGGATAAGTTGTACTGAAGTCTGGCTGATGTTGCTCTGAGACTAGCGTGGTATCACACACAGCTTCCTCCCCAGGACTCAGGGCACCTGTCTCTTTGGCATTCACTCCCTTTGTGACCTGGAACAAGTCGCTTTTGCTCTCTAGGCCTGTTCCCCACGGTTTCTGTGGCAGAGCTTGGCAGGCTGCTTAGACAGGCCTCGAACCTGACAGGTTAGGCTGGTTCCAGCAAGGCCCTGCTGGACGCGGGCCGCCCTTGACCAGCATCACCAACGGATGGAAGGATCCAGGCTCCCTGGCCCTCTCTGAACTATCCCAACCTCTGTGACAGCCCAGCGTCTGTGTTATTTACAGATTACCACCCTCAGGAGCCGGATTGACCAGGCCCAGAAGCAGTGAGTAGCCTAGCCCTGCTCTAGCCGAGTGCCCAGAGCCTGGGCCAGGCCAGGCTTGGCAGGGAGGCCACAGACTAACTCATGGGACCAGCCATCACTGCCCCCATCCCCACCTCTGGGAGAACAGGAGGGAGCCAGGGGGCTCCAGAGGGTCGGGGAGAGGAGCTCAGGTCATCTCTGAAGATGCGCTGAGTAAGCCTGGCCCCAGAGAAGGGTCCTGTCCTACATAGCTGGGCCGTAGGCATTCAGCCTCATCCGCCATTCCCACCTAGACAAGCTTAGGCCCTGGCCCAGGCCCCAGACATCGGTGATGGCTGGGACCCTGTGCCAAGAGCGGTTACCGACTAACCATTTCATTTCTGTTCCTGGCCAGATGCATCAGAGACAAGGGCAGCCCGAGAGGAAGACAGAGCGGGGGCGAGAGGCAGGGCCAGTGGGAGCAGGGCCCCCGACCTTCCCCTGGGGCTGACCTGTGCCCCTTGTAATGTGTACAGAGGCCAGGGGCCCCTGTGTATGTGGGGGCATTGGGTGAGAGTTCAAGGCACTTTAGTCAGCCCCCAGGGGCCCGGCTGGCTTCCCTGTCCCCTCTCGGTGCCATCAGAGGCCCTGGGAGCTGGAGGGGCCCTCCCTGGTATCTTGTGATGCCCAGGGCAGCCCTTGGGGCTGCAGGTACCAGGTACGGGGTAGCCAAGGCCCAGACTGACTACAATTAGAGTCTTTGGCCTCCTCTCCAGCCTTGGTCCCCAAGCTTTTTCAACAGTGACCAGCAGTGTGATCTCCCAGGAGCAGTTCTGCCAGCAGCTTGCTATGTGACCTCGGGCAAGTCCCCTTCCATTTTGAGGCCTTCGTATCTCCCTCTGTAAAATGGGCATAAGAAACCATCCCCTTTCCATCCCCAAAGGGGGAGCAGAGAGCCCCAGAAAGCTCCGATAAGGATCTTCAGGAAAATGCTCTTTGGTGTTCTCATCGACTTTCATCTCAAGCCAATGCCCAGCCTTCCAGCTCAGACCAGTACTGGCTGAAACAAGCATGGCTTCCCTCTGCCCAGCCCCACCCCACCAGGGCCTTCAATCCCACTTCTGTCCTCTTGTCAGGCTGCTCATGGGGCAGGGAGGAAACGAGTTTGGGAGTGAGCTCAGATTCCTGTTCTGGAAGGTGCAGGGTCCAAGACTCCTGCCCAAGAGGGGCTTGGGCCCTTGTCTCTGATGTGGAAGGTCAGGGGTCGGCATAGACCACTCTTGGAGTGAGCCGACTAGCCGGCAAGGTGTGACCAGTGTGTGTGTGTGTGTGTGTGTTCCTGTGTGTGTACATGTGACCACATGCCGCTATCGGCAGCTCCTCCTCAGGCAGGCAATAAGGCCCTTGGGGAGACAACTCCTGTGAATCCAGGACATGCACAGATGAGAAACTGGAGCTCAGAGAGCAGCCTCCTGTGGCGGACCTGGGCCCTCCCTAGATCTCCTCCTACCCAGCAGGCCTGCAGATGGAAGCCTCCCCTTCTGCTGGAGGACACTGAGTCTTCCTCAATCTCTCCTAATGCTATAGTGCCTCACAGAGCCAAGGAGAGATGAGTTTTGGCTCATCTGCTCTTCTAGGGGAGGTCACGTTGCCTTCATGCCTCCCTTACCAGGAGGCAGAATGGGCAGTAGAAGAATTGTGGGATTCAGAGGACCTGGCTAGGAATCCTAGTTTTAGGGGACCTTAGACCAATCCTTTCCCTTCTCTGGGCCTCAGTTTACCCATCTGTAAAGTCTGGGTGTTGGATTTGGTGGTCTTTGAAGGTCCCCCTCAGGACTGAAATTCCATGAAATGAAAGTCTCCTAAGTGCTGTGAACCGAGGTAGGAGCTGTGTTTCTTTGAGGAAGGCAGGGACAGCAGGGAGCATGAGGGGCAATGCCTGACCCCTCCTCTGCTTCCCAGCCCCCTCCTCCTCAGGCCCCCTAACTTCAGACTAACCTGCTTGGCAAGGGACAAACTCGCCCCTGACCAGGTCTGGCCTGGGTGCAGGTAAGTAGAGACTGCTTGGCATGTGGGGCTGTGCCTCCCTCCCACTCTCTGCAGGCCAGTCATTTGTTGGGCATGGGCTGGGGGAGGGCCTTCCAACACGTGTGAGGCCTCTGGCTTGGTCGAAGGCAACTTCAAATTATCCTCGGAGCCTCCTGAAGGCAAGAGAGGGCTCCAATGAGGGATGGGGTTCAGTACCAGGGACAGGGGCTCGAGGCTGGACTGGACCAAGCACGGAGAGTGGGAGTGAATCGCCGCACTGGAGAAGGAAGCAGTCAGAGATGGGAGTCTCAGCTCCTCCGGGGCTGGCAGCCCCGTTCCCCTGCCCGGCCCCCTCCCCGGCTGTCCCAACGCTAACCCGGTGTCCCGTTCTCCACTTGTAGCAGCAAGAAGGCTGGTGCTAAGGGCAAGGTCGGCGGGCGCTGGAAGTAAAGCCGAGACGGTGCCTCCCGAGCAGCGATGGCCCCCACCACCACCAGCCGCCCCTTCTCCTGAGGCTGCTGTCCACCCTGGCTCCTACCCCCCCCATCTGTCGTCCCTCCGGAGTTCTGGGAGATTCCCCAGAGAGGGGAAGGAGGAGCCTCCTGGAGCCGTCAGACGGACACCGCGTCCCCCTTGTCCCCGGACCCTTGTCTTCTCCCAGCCCCGCCCCCTCTGGGGACCTCTGGCCTCCCCTCTGTGGGGCTTGTGAATAAAGCTCAAGTGACCCCCGGCTCTGCTGAGTTTGTTGTATGTGTGGGAGAGCTGGGCCCTTCCCGTCTCGTCTGGATGTGCCCAGTGGGATAGGCACAAAACTGAACTCATCCGGCCAAAAGGGAGCATGAGCCAGCCCCAGCTTGGGACTCCGAGGGCTGCAGTTCCCCGTGGATCAGCAAGGGTTCCCTGTGGAGGAAGGAGGGGGCTGCACTCAAATGGCAGGGGAGAAGGGCAAGGGGTGAGCCTTCTCCCTTCACTTTCCTACCAGTGCCAGGCCCCTGCCCTCCACCCCACCCACTGGGCATGACTGAGACTGCTCTGAAAATGGTCCCCTCTGTGAGTCCTAGGGCAATGTCAGTCTCCTGCCTGAGCCCCTGCCAGCTTGGGCTCCTGGGACCCTAAAGGGAGGATTCTCAGCATCAGCCAGCAGGATAGCCCTGGGGGGAGGAGCAGAAACAAGAAATCAGGCCTGGTGGTGGCCTGGGGGGCTGAGATCAGAGGCATGAAGTGGGCTGGGACAGCTCTCCTGGTCCCCTGCCACTCTCCCTTCTCCTGTCCTTGTTGGGCATGGGTGGGGGGGAGGAAGAGATGGGGGCCTTCCAGCATGTGTGAGGAACTCCTCTGGGCCCAGTCGAGACTCCCCCCTTCCCCCCAGTTATGAGAGGAGCCTCCCATGAAGGGCAGTCCAGGCCGATGCTGGTTATTGGCCTTTGTTTCCTAAGAGGACCAGGAATCCTGGGTGTCTGCTGACATTAAAGGGCAGAGCCGCACACACTCATTAGCCTCCCTCTCCCCCAGCCATCCCAGGCTAGGCGACAGCCCTGGCACCTTCCCTGTCTGACCAAGCTCTGGTGGCTCGCACTGTCTGCTTCAGCCGCCTCCACGTCCTCATCTGCCTGGAGCCCTTCTGGAAGTCCTTCCGTGCTGCGGCAGACATCCCATGAGGCCCATTGCTTACCTGCAGCTGGTTTAGCCCATCTGCCTAGATGGCTACATTAATTAATCAATAATACATTAATTAACAAATTAAACACTTATTAGGCACCTGGTGTGTCGAAGGCACAGTGCTGGAATCTGGGACCAGAGACACAATGAGAAGCAGGTCCTGGGGAGATGGGAGGGGCTCTCTCCCCACCCTGGGAAGGGCTGGGCCCTGTCAGCCTCTGCTGAGGTGGTGGTCACCCTTCACTCTCCAGGCAGCTCCCCTTTTCACGGGATCTAGGGGACGTCAGGAGGCCGAGGACCACTCTGCCCATTTCATAGATGAGAAAACTGAGGCTCACAGAGGTAGTCTGGCTGTCCTGGGCCCTTTTCTGACCACCTGCCTCAGTTTCCCCCTTTGTCTCTGTCGCTGGCCTCCAGGAAACTCTCCCAGAGCGCTCTCAGCCATTCTGTGGCAGGACAAAGCCCCAGGGAATAATCCCCTTCTCCTAGGCGCTGAGGGCCCCGGAGCCTGGGACTCAGTTTCCTCACAAGTCCCTCTAGAAGACCGTTAGGGCCCGGCGTCCGTCCCAGGTGCGGAAACGGCTAGCCGGGGGAGACAAAGGTGCAGAGGAAGAAAGCGAAAAGCAGGAGCAGGTTAAGAGCGTGGGCGGCGCGGCCTCCGGCCGCCAGAGGGCGATGCAGGCAGTGGCCACGGCGCAGGCGCGGCAGCCCGGCCTCCTTTCTCTCTGCCCTACTTCCGCCGCCGACAGGAAGTTCCGGGAGCAGCTGTCAAGAGAGAGCGGGCGTCATGGCCCGCAATGTCCTGTGAGTACGAGTAGGGCTGCTTGGGGAAACTGAGGCCCGCCCACGTGACCCTGGCCTCCGGAGCGGGGCTGGCCCCCAGTCACCCCCAGGGTCGTCGTGCAAGGCCCTCCTTCCCCCGTGTGTCCCGCGCCTTTGCCCCGGTGCCGCTCCCCCCCCCCCCCCCCCCCCCCCCCGCCTGGGGCCCCCTCCCCGCTCTCCTCCCCCTCTCACCCTGGCTGCCGCTGGCCCCGCCCACCCAGGGCAACAGCAGCAGCAGCAGCAGCGTCCCCTGTCGGCGTGGCGGGGCCTTGGCGTGACTGTCCAGAGGGGCCGGAGCCACGGCCCCCGGGGACGTCGCTGCACCCCCCCCCCGAAGCGAGGCCTCCCTGCTGTACCCGCCTTGACGGCGCCCTGCATTTATTCACTCATTCGTTCATTCACTCGTTCACTCACTCGTGCTTTCATTCAGTCACTCATTTGTTCACTCATGCATTCATTCATTCACTCGTTCATTTATTCACTCATGCCTTCATTCGTTCACTCACTGGTCACTCACTCGTGCATTTATTCATTCACTCATTCATTTATTCACTCATGCATTCATTCGCTCATGCATTCATCCACTCAGTCGTGCATTTGTTCGTTCATGTGTTTATTCACTCATTCATTCAATAACTGATTTGTTCACTAGTATATTCATTCACTCAGTCAGGTGTTCATTTGTTCATCCACTCCTGCATTTACTCAGGCATGCATTCATCCATTCACTAATTCACACCTTTGTTCACTTGCTGATTTACTCACCCATGCATTCATTCACTCATTCGTTCATTCATTCATTCATTCATTCATGCTACGGCCACATCCCAACAGTAGCTCCTTCACTGCCATCTTATCTCGGACCCCAGAACGCACGAGGGCCAGCAGCACCTCCAGAGCTGGCAGGCACACAAGGGTCACCCCAACATCTCCCTCGCTCCTGCTCAGAGACAGCTGCCCCTGTTAGGAGGTTGGCCCTCCTGCCCCTCTAGGCCTGTTCCTGCCCCTGGCTCCAGGGTTGGGGGTCCTGGGTTCAAATCTCGCCTCTGATACCTCCTTTCAGATCTCAGGTGAGTCACATGGCCCTTGGCCTCAGATGGCCCCCGATCCTGTGGTCTTGGCCGGTGGTTCTGGTGTCCCAGCAAGGGCTGTGAAAAGCAGGCGTGATTTGGAGGCAGGCCTTGGGTTCAAATGCCCACACGGCCGTCTTTCGCTCCGTGACACCGGCCAAGCCCCGGCCCCTGCCTGGTCCCAGGCACCCAGCCTTCTGGGCGGATCCCCGGTGCCCTTTCTGAACGCTGTCCTTCCCAGACTCCGGGCGCCGTCTGCCCATCGTGGCCATCCGGCGGCGGTGGCCTCTTTGTTCTTTCGGGCCCCGCCGGCCGTCGTCTTGGGGCCTTGTCGGAGGGAGGAGGGCTCCTGTTGTGCGCCCCCTGCCCAGCCCCGTGGGTTCTGCCTTCCTCCCTCCGCCCAGGACGGGCCCCCTTCTGCAGGCGGCCGCTTGCCCGTTGCTCGCCCGTTGTCCAGGCTGGGCGGATGCTGAGGCCCACTGTTCTCTCCTCCCTTCTGTGCTCCACTTGGAGTCCCTCCGGTCGGACTTCCGGGAGCCCGCCCGGTGCTGAAGGGCACCCCCTCCCGGGTCGGAAGCCTGGCGTTTTCGTGTTGGAGGGCGTGCCCCAGGAGGCCATCTACCTGGCCGTGTGCTGCCCGTCTGTCGGTCCATCCATCCATCCGTCTGTCTGCCTGGCTCTCTACTTACTGGTGGTCTGCATCTCCTTGCTAATCTGTTGGTGTGTGTCTCTCTCCATCCGTCTGTCTCTGTCTGTCTCTCTAGCCACTTTTTCATCTGTTTGCCTCTGTCTGTCCATCCCCCTGTCCTTATTTATCTGTCAGTCTGTATCTGTTTGTCCGCGTACCCGGCCGTCTCCTGTTCTGTCCGTAGGTCTGCCCGTCTGTCTGTCCATCTGTATGAGATGCTTCCCATGCGCCAGGCCTAGAGCTCAGCCAGATGGGTCAGCTGGGTGGGGAGAGAGCACCCAGGGCAGAGGTCGGGGGGTGGCACAAAAGGGGACGGCCAGGCCTTTTCCTCTTTGCTGTCGCATTGGTGATGTCAGGTCGGTGCCCGACGTTGGGGGTCACTGGCTGGCAGATGGTCCGAGCTGGAAGGAGCCCGAGACAGCCTGTGGTGTGGGGTTGGGCTGTTTAGCCGTCTGTGTTTCAGGATGATTGGTTTCCTTCGTCATCCTGTGTGGTTTACGTATTTAAAGATGGCTCTGAGGTGGGTGCAGGGAATCATTAGCCCGAGGGGGCCGTGGCACCTCAAAGATGAAGGCACCCGGCCGGCGTTCGGCCCTACTGTTGTTTAGAGGAGGAGCGAGGCACAGAGAGACCGGGCCATGCGATGGGGCCGAGGCGCCGCCAGGGCCCCCTTCTGTCTCAGAGCCTCTGCCCCCCCCTGCCCCCTTCGGGGTGCCCTCCATCATCTCGGCTGCTCGAATCCCTCGCCTTGCACACGGGGCAGTGGCCCCCTTCCTTCTTCCTCCCTCCGTTGCCCCGAAGGAAGCTGAGATCTCCCGCTTTCCTCCAAGTCCTATTTCTTGTCCTGAAGCAGGCGGGGGTGCCTTTGGGTCCTGGGTCAGCTCGTCTTCGGGATTCCGTGGCCAGGGCCCAGAGCCGTTCACTTTTGGGACTTGGAGGCCCAGCACGGGCAGACTGGTTGCCCACAAGCCGTGGTCCAGAGTTCCTTAGGTGCAGACACCCCCCCCCCGCAGTGGTCATAAGGTGCCCCCCGCCCCAAGCCAGCCATCGTGCACCATGAGAAGTGGCCACCAGGGGGAGCGTGGGAGGCCGCTCACCACCTTCCTGCGCCAACGTGAACGGCCGCTGGAGGGCCTTCAGCGAGCAGAGGCAGCCAGCGCCTGTTCGCCTCGGAGAGCCGGCAGAGGTCTCTCTCTTGCCTGGCTCGCGTGCCCTGGCTGGACCTGAATGGGCAGCGGGATGGGGGGGGGGGGGTCGGAGTGAGCCCCGTGGAGTCAGGAATGGGTAGCTGGGAGAGAAGTCAGCCTGAGCGCCACGCGCTTTGCGAGAGGGAAGCAGGCGCAGAGAAGCCTTCTCCCCGTGAATCACGCCCCTGGTACTTGGTACACAGTGTGTGCGCGATAGAGGATGGGGGGGGAGGAGCTAAGCCGGCTGATTGGCAGCACGGCCCCGAGGGGTTCAGGCAGTGTAGGTGGCGATGGGGGGGGTGTCTGTCCACTGCTGCCTTGGCCGCACAAGCTGTGAGCCCGAGGCCAGATAACTGAGCTGGGGGCTTTCTGGCAGGTACCCCCTGTACCAGGCAGGAAACCCCCAGCTGCGCATCTTCCGCACCAATTTCTTCATCCAGCTGGTGAGGCCCGGGACGGCACAGCCGGAGGACACCGTGCAATTCCGAATCCCGATGGAGTAAGTACTCTGAGGGGTGGGGGGTCCAGGTCCCAGAGGCCCAGCAGGGCACAGCTCTGGAGTTTGGACTCATTCCTTGGGCTGTGCAAATGTCAGAGCAGCCTCAGGGAAGGTTCTGGCGGGGGGAAGGCGCAGACACGTGGACGGTCTTCGTGGCCGTGGGCCTCTGCCCTTTCACTGGGCGGGCCCCTTGTTTCTTCTGGCTGCTCAGAGCCCCGGGTCGTTCGGGACCCGAGAGGCCACAGGGCACCTGGCCAGGCACCCTCAAGCTTAGCCCCTTGGCCTCAGGAGGGGCGCAACCGACAAGAAATCCCCAAGGCACAGTTTTTCTGTCTGAAGCTGGATCGAAGTGTGGGCTGTCTGGACAGGGGGAGCTGGTGTGTCCCCCTGGAAACTCAGGTTCAGGGCTTCTCTACAGCTGGACCTCTTCCCGGGGAGTGGGCCTGGGAAGCCGAGGCGGGCAGGTTCTGGAGGGCTCCTGCCTGCCGGGTACAAAGCAGCATTGTCTGCTCCCGGGCCTCCCGACGTCTGGCGCGGCTGACCCCGCGAGCTCAGTTTGGTGCTGTAGGAGGGCAGGGGGATGCAGCTCTGGGATTTAGCTCTGCAGTTCGGCCAGTCTGCTCAGTGTGTCCCTGGCCTGCACTGTTGGTGCTGTTGCTGGTGCCGGGCCACGGTGGTCAGTGACCTGCCTGGTGAAGCAGCTACCACAGGGCTGCGTGGACCTCCCCCGGCCAAGGCCACGCTCGAGTATGGGGCTGGGGCCGCAGGTGGCCTCTGGGGACGATGCACGGCTGCGGTCCTGACTGCCGAGGCGTCCTTGCCGGCACCGTGGTTTCAAGGTGCCTTCTCTCTCCTCTTGTGTGGGGTGCAGAATGACCAGAATTGACCTCAAGAATTATCTGCAGAACATCTATAACGTGCCTGTGGCTGCCGTGAGAACCAGGATCCAGCATGGTGAGTGTGGGCTGCTGTGGCCTGCCTCTCCTCTGCCTCCTTTCTCTGCTTTGTTCTCCCTCGCTGTGCCTGCTGGTGACCAGGTGGTGGCGCTTCAGGACCAGAAGAGCGTTGGTCAGCGGAAGCACCCACGCAGCCTTCCAGCATGGCGGGCTCTCTCCCTCCCTGCCTTTGTCCCAAGCCGTGCAGCTGTGCTGGGGCAGGGGTAGTGCCCCCAGGCGCTCTGGGTCTCTGCTCCATCAGCCTACCAAGTGCTCCCGAGTCAAGCTTGCTCAGGAGGAACCCCCAGAAGGGGACGCCCTTCGTGTCACGGGCAGAGGGACACCTCTTGATGCATTGAATGGTTAACCTATGACTGGGTGAATGGGGGTGCAGGAGCCAGTTAAGGGTGGCCACAGCTTCTGGGCCTGGGCTGGCTGTTGATTTCTGAGATAATTGGACCTGAAATCAGGAATTATGAGCAAAGGAAGGTCTCTATTCCAACAGGTTCCAACAAGAAGAGGGATCACAGGAATGTGCGCATAAAGCAGCCTGATTACAAGGTTGCTTATGTCCAGCTGGTGAGTCAGGGCACAGGCTGCCTCAGGGCCTGGTCTAGGGAAAAGGGGGCTGAGGCATTTTCTCCATCCCACCCCCCCATGTCCAAGGAGGGGCCCAGAGGGAGAGTGGGCTGTCCTGCTGTTGGAAGGCTCTGGGCATCTCCCTTGTGGCTGAAGGTGCCCTGGACCACTCAGAGGTTGTGAGTATTGGGTGAAGCTTCAGAAACCTCCAGGGGTGTGTGTGTGTGTGTGTGTGTGTGTGTGTGTGTGTGTGTGTGTGTGTGTGTGTGTGTGTGTGTGTGTGTGTGTGTGTGTGTGTGTGTGGTATGTGTGGTGTGGCAGGCAACTGGCCCCCACTAGCAGTTGGGCTGCAGTGTTCTCAGGGGTGTCTGTCATGGGTCTCCTCTGTCCGCTCTGTCACTAACACTGATTTCCCTGGGTGAGCTCCTCAGGCCCCATCCTCCCCACACCCCAGGCTGCCCCCTGGGTCCAGCCAGAAGCTCTGGCCCCAGGTCAGAGCCCAAGGTGGCATGGGGGCCTCTCTGCTCAGTGCTCCACCCAGAAATGTGGCCATTTCCAGATCTCTGTCAAAATCCTGCCCGTGATAGAGCACTGGCCCTGAAGTCAGGAAGACCTGGGTTCAAATCCGGCCTCAGACCAAACACTTGACACTTACTAGCTGTGGGACCCTGGGCAAGTCACTAAACCCCAACTGCCTAAAAAAAAAAAATCCTGCCCATGTGGCTTCCCCCCGGATGTCCCGATGCCCACCCAGGGCCCTCTCCTTTTCTGAGCCCTGAATTTGCCCAGAGTAAGGGTAGATGACCTTGGCATGAGCCCCACCCTGCCCCCCCCCCGGTCAGGGCCTGGGTCTTCCTTGTCTCTGTAGTCCCCATGTCTCCCCTTGGATACAAAGGTTGTTTGCCTGGGGAGGGGGTCATTAACCTCCAAGGCCTCCGGACCCCTGGCCTTGGGCTGAGCTGCTCTGGGGCCGGGCCATGGGGTGGGCTGGAGGGGAGAGACAGACTTTGAAGCCCCCTTCCCTCCTGGTCATCTTTGGGCCTCGAAGGCCGCCCTCTCTCCTGCTGGCACCTTTGGGCTGAGGTCAGCGAGGGGCCCCGGGAACCCCACCATTGTCCCCAACTGTGCTTGCCCCAATTACTGAATTTCAGTTTAAACAGAAGGGGAGAGCCCGGCTGTTGGCGGGAGTGGGAGCCCGCGGTCCTGTCCCGGTGGCTGGCCAACACTCCCTCAGCCGCCAGATGGCAGTAGCGCTCTTGGGCTGGCCAGGGCTGGCATGGGCTTGGGGAGCCTTTATGGGGAGCGGGGGTTAGGCTGCCTCCTTCCAGACAACAACTGCCTTCTTTCTCCTGCCCGGGGAGCGCACATATGTGTTTGGGCTGAGAGCCATGGGTGTGTGGCGGCCCAGCCCAGGGCCAGAGAAAGCCCCTCCAAAACCAGGCTGCTGTTAGGCCCCCCCAGCCCCTTCAGGGGAGGCTACGGTTACTAGTGGCTTTGGAGTCATCTGAGCCCCTTGGGCCCCCACCCCCTGATCGTGAAAATTGAACTGTGCCACGGAGATCTCATATCAGCAGCTGCTCTGGGCTCCGTTTTCCTGAGACTTAGCAGGGGAACAGTGTGTGTGTGTCTAATGTCACTGCTCGGGAGGGCTCCTTGATCATAATTTTTAAAGGGCGGGCGACCCCCTAGCCCGGGGGCTGGGGCTGGCTCCTTCAGGACTGGGCGAGCCTGGAAGCAGGAAGGGGGGAGCGCGAGTGGTGGGCACAGCCTGGGGGTCACTGTCGTGTCTCGGGGGTCTGTATTTTGGTGGTGGTTCTCTGTGGCCCTTCGAGTGGTCCTTTACTACAGATCTTATTGTGAACCCTGGAGAAGAGTGTTGGGAAACAAAGTCCGGGTCAGGACCCTGTTCCCTGTCATGGCTGTCCAGCTGGCCAGCCATTACTTTTACCCTAATGCCTCAGTTACAGCACGCAAACATCCCCCCAAAAAGCGTCTGATTTGCTGCGGTGCCGACTCTGAGCGGCTCGGCCCGCCGGCAGAGAAGGGGTTAATGGAGCACACTGTCCCTGCAGAGGCTCATTAGGGTCCCTGAAAACGCCCCGGCCTGCACTTCCCCGTTCCCTTTGTCCTGGAGCTTCGGGGGTTTGGTTTTTTTTTTTTCCCCCTCTTCAGTGCTTTTCCTCTGGTCAGCCTTTCCTTTCTCTTTGGAAAGACCGGGTCTTCTTTCTTTTCTTTTTTTAAGTGAAAGGTTAAATTCTCTCGATAGGAGGAGAGTTCCCCAAGGAACCTTAAATTTCCGCGCGGCCTTTGTCTCCAGTAGGAAGCGAGCCCTGCTTTCAGCCCAAACCTTCCCTGGCTTTTCCGAACCTACTCTTATAAATTGCAGACTTTGCATTTCCATTTTAAAATGTCGTTTCGAAACCCCCTCCCCTTTAGAAACCCGGCCGAATCACCTCAGTAGATCCACATAAATCCCCCTGTTCTGGGCAATCAGCCTGCGTGTAAACTATTGCCCTTTGGTATTTTAAAAAAGAAAAAAAAAGTTTTGAAATGTGTAAGATAATCCTCCTGAAAGCCGGCTACCGAGCATGCCCCGTCCCTGCTTTTCATCACTCCCCGCTCTGACACCCCCCTCCATATGATCAGAATTTATCAACCTTCAATCTCAGGGTGTCCCGGCTTGGCCGACAGCCCAAACCCAAACTTCTGGACAAAATGCGGCCTTGCGGCCTCATTTTACTTATTCAGACGTTGCAGAAACAAACGGGCTTTCTTTGTGTCCCTTGACCTGTCATGAAATGGCAAAGTAGTTCAGTATTTAATATCAGTAACATTACTGAAATATTATTTATTAAAGCAGGGATATTTGTGAAATAGAAAACAGTTGTGTGATTTTAATATTTAATATCGATAATATTGCTGGAGCACCAGCTTCCCCGAGTTGGGGTCTCTTTGCCGCCTGCCTGCTCTCCCTGGCCCCGGAATCACCCCAAGTCGTGGGGCCGAGGACATGGGAAGCCCAAGGGTGGAGGCAGCGGCTCGGGGCTCGGGACTTTGTTGACACTGATCTATCCTGAGAGTCCTAGTGGGAGACCTAAGGCCAGTTAATTTGCAAAGCCTTTCCTGATTTATAGAGCGGCGTGGACAGCCGTATTTCTCGGCCGCTCTTTGCTAAGCCCTGTGCCAGGAGGAAGGGTGAAGGTCTTTCGGGACTGGGGGTCTGGAGGACTCCCCCCCCCCCGGCTTCCCCCCTCCGGGGAACGGACACCGTTAATGAGGCCACAAGCAGAACAAATACCGCTCAATGGAGAGATCATGTCAGTGAAAAGATTATTGTCCCAGAGTGATGGTTTCCTGCTGCTAGATGAAAGCGGAGGCCGAGGCGGAGGCAGAGACACCGACCGCCCCGGACACGCTCCGGCTGCCGCGGCTGTGGTGTCCATCATGCCGAGCAGCAGGGGAGGGGGTGCTGTTAATCATTTCATCTGATTGAACGTGGGGCCCCCTCCTCTTTGCTGCCCTCCGGGTGACTGCGGCCCTGGGCTCTGCCTGCCTCTTTACTGTCTGGCAGTGCTGCGGAGAGGAATGGCGGGCCGGACCCCCGGGCCATTCTCTGCCTCGGCTTTTGTGGGACTGCGAATATTCCCTGTTTCTCCCTAGGCTCACGGACAGATCTTCAAGTTCCCAGATCTGTTTCCCGAGAAAGAGCGGAGCACTGAAGCTGGCTCCATCGATGATATCCAAAATCAGTTTGTGGAGGATGAAAGGCAGAGGCAGAAAGGCGACCCCCGGCGTGGGGGGGTCCCTGACTGGTTCGGCTTGTGACGGGGCTGCCCCGGGCCAGGCGGCGGGAGGAACACTTTGAACAAGGCACAATTAAAGTTTGGCTTTCTGGAAAAGGAAAATGGTCTCCTTGTTTGCCCTTTTTTTCCGCGTGTAAACTGGAGGTCCCAGGCGCAGCAGCAGCCACCGCGGCATGCTTGTGCTAGGTGGGACATAGCTGCTCCTTCCCGCCCTGTGCTGCTTGCAGCCGCTCTGTCCCCACGATATAGCAGAGACGCCATTCAGAGGCTCATAAGCAAGAAGTCTGGGCTGCAGGCGGCCCCAGGATGCCTAGGGAATTGTGTAAAGATGGGTGCCCACCTGGTCTCTGCAGGCAGAGCCTGACGTGTCCTGCCCAGGGATGGTGCAGAATGCCAAGTTCTAGACCAGGGCTCTCAAGTCCAGTCCCTGTGGGGGATGAGAGGCTGGCCAGGGCTGAGTGAAGCAGGAGAGGTCTCTGGGGCAGGGCCCCAAAAGCGGAGAGCCCCGGGCACCACAGCCTCAGGGATGACATGAAGGTGGGGAAGCCACCCGAGCCAGCTCTGCCAAGGAAGCAGGAAGGAGGAGGTTCGAGGAGTGTGGAGGGGCAATAGGGAGCCATTGTGTGTCCTTGAGAAAGGGAGTGCTGTGCATCTTGTGATGTTTGGCAGTAGGCTGTATTCTGGTTTCTAGGACAGAGGCTGGCCAGGGCGGAGAGGGGATGTCAGGTCTGCCCACTGGCCTAGGGCTGGCCATGGGAAGGGGGAGGGAGGACCCAGCCGGTACATGGCATTGGGCCGATGTTGCCCACTGCCTCTCGAGCGTTGTGACCAGGTCCCATACCCAGGAAGGAGCAGAGCCGAGCCGAGGTCTTGTACCCCAAAGTCTGGGCCTGCTGGCAGAGCCTAAGAGACAAAGAGTTGTTTGGCCAGGTCAGGAAGGAGTACTGGGAGGTTAGTTGTGTCCAGTTGGAGGGCTAAGGCCCCAGGCCAGTGCAAGGTTCCTTGATGTCTTAGGTGGGGCAGGGCAGCCCTCGGAAGGGAGGACTCTTCTGAGTAAGGACTCCACTCAAGGCTACTTCGCCCTCTTAAATAAGTACCATTTACCAGCCTGCCTTCCCTGCCGGCGAGGCGGTGAAATGAGGCAGAACCAGGGGAGCCTGGGTAATTAAAAGTGCAATGGCCTGTGGCCCTGGGGACCGGTGGGTTCAGCCTCCTCCTCCCTTTTTACAAGTCACCATTCTGAGTGAGGGAAGCTGGCCTCTTCTGCTTTTTACTCTACCCTTTAGGAGCTTTGCTTTGGAACAAAGGTTGGAGGGGAAGGCCTGCAGACCCTGCTGCTGTCCAGGCACCCGCCCCAGGGGCCCAGCCTGCCTCATGGCTTGGTGGAACTGTCTGGCGTGCCAGGGTGAGGCTTCCCTTATGCACAGAGCTCATGAGGCACTGTCCCACTCTGGTCTGCTTGATTGCCTGGTGGCCCCAGTGCTCTGCTGGGCACAAAGGTGGGGCGGCTCATGAGCTGTTTCTGGGGACAAGGAGTCTCTTTTCCCAGCAGGCTCCTTTGGGTCACTTCATCCTCCTGATCCGGGGGGGGGGGGGACAATCATGGGGGGAGGGGCTGATGGAAGCGGGCATAGGTGGGGGGGGCAGGAGGATCACGCTGCTCTTAAATTGCTAACAGAACTTTGGTCATTGATGTGGTGAAGGCAGAGCCCACTCAAGCTGCCTTCCCGGCTGGCCTCTCTGCCCTTCTGTGTCAAAACAGCACAAGCTGGAAGCCCCCACGAGACAGTCACCCTGGGGGGAGGGCAGCTCTGCTGCCTTCCTGCCCCCCAGGCCGGTGGACAGAGAGGGAGCCGGTCAGAAATTGGGGCTTCTTCCGCTTTCTGTGAGACTGTGCGTGCTTCCCAGTGAAATCCCAGAGCCAGGAGGGAGCAGCTCGGGGCCCACACCTGAAGAAGGGCCCCCTCCCCGGCCTCCGGAGGCAGCCCCTTCCTCGATGTGACAGCTTTCGCTGTCAGGAAACTCTGGCTGACATCAAGTCCCAACCTGCCTCTCCTAACTACCAGTCTTTTCTGTTGTTCTGCCCTCTGGGGCCAAGCGGAGAAACTAATCCCTTCTCTGAAGGGTCTTCACACTCTTCCTTGATGCCTCCTCATTTTCGCCCTGGTTTCATTGTTTTCTGCTTGTCCCCACGGGTTGGATTTCCCCCGATGAGTGTGCAGTTGGGTGGCTGAGGGAAAAGAAAGAGCCCAGACCCTCCCTTCTTGCCTGTCCCCAGACTAGGAGAGTCAGGTGGTCCTGCCCCAGTCCTGGATCTGCCTAGAGCATCCCACCTGGCCTTTCTCCCTCGGTGTGTGTGACCCAGGCCTCTGTAAGATCTGGGAACACAGGGAGCACACCCCTCTTTTCTTGTGCATGCCTCAAATGGGCCCTTGACAGGGACTCCCAGGGACTCGGGCATACCCAGTTGATTGATTGACGTGGGCTCCCATTTCCCGTCCCTCCCTGCCTTTGCAGTTGTTTCTGACGACATAGAGTATTAGTCTCTAGAGCGAGCAGTTGGGACACCTTCATCGCTGCTGGTCCCCAGTGAGTTCCATTTTCCTTTTCTTTTAAAGCCACTCTGCCCAGAGCCCGAGGCTAAACTCTTTTGGCCCGAAGAACTCCCCTTTCCCAATGCCACTCCCCAGAAGGTGAGCTCTAGGGAGCCTGGCTTTTCAGACCGTTTTCCCTCTCCTTTTCTTCTTGGCAAGCGGAACCACATTCTCATTTAAATGAGATTGGACAGGCTCTGAGTGCCCTCTTGACAAAACCACCCACAGCCTGGAGCGGCCTTCTGGCTGCTGGAGTCCATGGGGAATCGGAAGACATTTTAATACTGTTTTATGGAGGGGCATGGAGGGTTTCACAGACATTATCTGATCCCTACTCCCAGCACCCCAGTGGGCTAGCCAGGAGAAGGTACTGTTCTCCCGGATTGCCAGAATGGGGAACTGAGGGCTGCAGACGATGGCACTTAGCCAGGGCTCCGAAGCCCATGGGCACTTGAGCTGGGATTAGAACCCAGGCCTCATGACTCTCTGTCAGGACGGGCGTGAAAAGAACACTGACGCCTCCCTCACCAGGAGGCCCGGGAGTGACTTTCTCCCTTTTTGGCTGCATTGGGAGCGCCTTCAGGCGAGATCTGGGCAAGAGGGCAGGAGGGCCCCCTGCTCCCCCGGGGCCAGCCCGCCCCCTCCTCTCCTGGTGGCCCATTAGCTGCGCTGATACAAAAGGCTTGGGATTGAAATGGTGGATTAGAGTGGGGGTGGGGACAATGTGTGGATTCCAGTGGACCACATCAGTCTTGTTCTCCGTGACCATGAATCAATCGGACTCTTTTTATGTTTGAATGAAAAGCACACAGATTCACACACAAGCCTATTGTGACGCGGCGGCCTATTGTTGAGGTCTTTAAAGCCCCCAAATTAAAAGACTGAGCTGGAAGCAAAGTGTGGATATTACGATGTTTGTTTATTAAAACCATTTCTCCCTCCTGTGGGAGCAGCAGCACTGGTTCGTTCCCTGGCTTTCTCTGAGGTAGGGTGGGCAGCAACCCGCCCCAAAGCTCCAGTCCCCTGGGGTCCGGCCAGGGGCCCGCAGGAGACGCATCTCCTGCCTGGGGAGGCTTCCCAGAGAGGCAAGAATGCCAGGTCCAGTGCTTTGGAGAAGCACTCCCAAAGAAGTTCCGTGTTCCTGCCCCTGCAGAAGGAACCCCGTCTGATGTGGAATCCAACCCGCCCTGTCCCTACCAACAAGTCTGGGAAGTCGAGACCCGGACCCAGGAGGCCTCGGCGAATTGGGAGCTCCCAGGGTGCCTGGGCTGGAAAGGGAGAGGTCCTGGGCCCTCACTTCTCCCTGACTGCCGCTCTGGGCGGCAGCTCCCCCCTTCCCAAGGACGTTCCCCAGGGGCAGTTGTGGGTCGCTAGGGCCTAGGATCATTGGTGCGGATTTCACATCTTACAGAGCTGGGTTGGACTGAGGTCCCCTCTGGGCCAACGGCTCTTACAGTAGTGTCAGAGAATATGGCTCAATGATCGGTTGGCCCCGCTTTCCAGAAGGAGAAACTGAGTCACAGCAAGAGGAGCTGGGCTCCAGTGCTGTCCTCTTCTCTCCCAGCCTCTCTCCTGGAGGCTCCATGTTTTGCTCTGGGGGAGGAGGGGGAGGAAGCTGGCCTGGGTCAGGCACGTCTTACCCTGTGGTTTTAAAGTCCCGTAAAGGGCAGAAAGTACAACCCCCAGAAAGAGTTCAATTGTACCTTCTGAAGGAAATGCTTCAGGGGCCTTGGGAGCGAGGGGGCCTCTAATTCACAGCAGAGAAAGGAATGTCACACCTCACCATCTCTGGGCTCGGTGGGCTCTGTGGAATGGGAATGCCGAAAAGGAGCAGACCCAGGCCAGGAGAAGGACCTCGCTCTTCACGGGACCTCCCCCAGCTGGAAAAAGAAGCCACGTTCCTTCTTCCTTCTAGGTGTCCCGTTCTCTGTCTGCCCCCACCCCCACCCCACCGGGCCATGGCTGTTTAATTCGGCTTTCTTCCCTGGCTGGACCGGGAGCTTGCTGAGGCCAGGGGCCAGGCTTTGTGTCTATGGGGGCTGCTGCCTTCACTGAGCATTCAATAAAGGTCAGAGACCACCGTGGGGACAGGGGCAATCCCACAGGCCTCCAAGTACCCCCGCCTCCACGAATTGTGACTTACTTTGTAAGAGAAAACAACCCCCGAGGTCTCATCTCCCCTTTTCGGCCAGCTCCCCAACCCCATCCCTGGCCTTGTGGCAGCTCTTTGGTGGAAGCAGGCTAGAAATGTTTGCAGGGATGATGTCAAAAACAAGACAGATTTAAGCCCTTGGCGGGAGGACCCTCATGGGCCACAAAAATGGGACTGTTTAGGATGAAGATTCGTTACCAGCAATAATAAGGTGAGAAGCCAGGTGGAGGAGGGGTCAGGCAGCAACCCGGGAGGGTGAGGACGGGCTGTGCCTCCCGAGACTAGTCCTGGTTCAGGCAAACATGTTTGTTGGGAGGCACCTTGTCCTCCTGGCCCCGGGTCCTGAAGAGATGTGT